ATCATTTGTTCCTTTTTTCTTTTCCTCAAAGTTGGCTTAGCATTTAGCATTAAAAACTTTGTTTTGTAATCATTAACGGTCACATTAGTTATACAAGGCTTGAATCTGCTTATCTACAGTTCACAGTTTCATATGGTGGCAGGAAAAAGGATTTTAGGGGTGAAAATAAATGTAGAAAAGTGTATGGAAATACTCCTTCGCTCTGTTCTTTTTAGTCTTGATGGGGTTCAGCTATAACCAGCTTTCCATTTTTTCCCTTTAGCAACTGATTCTTGCTTATCCATACAGGCAATTTCCTCTTAAACCCAGATAACTTCCCTGAAACAAAACAGTGAGGGAACAATTTCAACCACTGAAAAGCAAGGGATTTCATTCAACATTCAACTCATTTCATTTATGATATCTGATTGATTTGCTCTATTTTGATTGGAATGGACCTTCAGGTTTTCACTTGGAATGACCGCTTGAACATGTCTAACATGGTGAAAAAGGGTAGCATAGGGGATAAGGACAAGACTCCCAATATTTGGAACCTAATTTTCTGGTTGAAATTAAGTCTTGGATTCAACTGTTATACCTGCTTCTTTAATTTTGAGTAGTACACATGTTGAAGAAGAAAAAAAAAACCAAAAATACACATATAAAACACATGCATTTAAACAATAGTCCAGTATTTGTTGAGCCTGCAAATTTTCTCGTGGAAGAAAAGGACAGCAAAAGTGACAATTGTTCACTGTTGAAAAGAAATTCAATGAATCTGCCGGAAGTGGCCTCATTGAATTAATTATTCCTTTTCTTAATAACTTATTTACATTTTCTGAACCAATCCTTAAGATGCTACTCAATGATCAAATCTTGTTGAGTAAATCCATTCATTTGACCTCCATAACTCCTTCCCCTTTCTTTCCTTATGGCTCAAAGATGGAAAAGAGTTGGATAAGAACAAAAGTTTTCAAAGAATTTGAATTTGACCAGCTTTCCTCCATGGCTAGAATGTGACCACTCATCAAACTATGATCATAAAAACAGTCCAGTGGGACCATTCATCTTTGTTCAGCTTAAACCATGTGCACAGTTCTTCTCAAATGGTTGGAAAAGAACAGTACAAACTCAGTCTCAAGGTTGAATGGGATGATGCTTGCCATTAGGAAAGGTTAAATAACTTACTTCTTCATATTGAGTTGGATTATGGTAATGGAATCTGACATATGCAGCTCAATCAAATTCAAAGTGATGCGGAAAGGAAAAAGGAAATAAAAAGGGTTTGATCAAATCAGAGACCAGTTTTGGCATGAGTGTTCTGACATCATCATGCTTATATCATCAACATATCATGCATTCCAGCCTCATCTTCCTGGCTTGACATGGCATGTCTCCCTCTCTTTCCTCACATGATGAAATAAAATGATGGTGACTGCAGCAACCTTTCACTGTAATTCCTTCTTCTTTTGTTTCTTTACCCTTTTTTCCCTCCTCTTTGACTATTTTGGTTATGAATGGTGGGAAAGGCATAATCCTTTTAATTCTTTCCACAGTCAAAAACACAAAAAGAATCATCAATGATGTCATAAATCATACATACATAAGATTTCAGTTTTAGAGATAAACTATATGATTAATTAGGCTAAGGATTAATACATATATATATATATATATATATATATTGCTTAATCTTGTGCATTAGCATTGAGTAATGATAGAGCAAAGGGTGATAAAGAGAGGGTGCAAGTGGTAATGCTTTGCCTTCATTAGTAAGTGATTGCTTGTTATTCTTTTCCACATAATTGGGATTTGAAAACCCATAGTTTTCAAATCTCACATCATAAACCTGCTTTAATTTGAATGACTCACAAAAGAGATTCAAATGGTGGTTGGATTGACTGACATTGATTTCCTTAGTTTGAATGCCAATCCCATCCATCAAGCCATCCAATGGATCAAACATAGACTTTTTTCAGGCCATTTGTCTTTATATATTTACTTTCTTCATCTGAATTTTCTTTGGAACTTTATGATAATGAAACGCTAAGCTACCCTGAAATACAAGCCAAGATTGTCTCTTTCTCTTTTGCTTAATCTGTATATATCTCAGTACTTATAAACTATGTTAGCCTTAATCCAATTAATGAGACAATAATGAAGTAATTAATTAAACAGTTTTTTAATCAAAGATCGAAGAACAAGCCGACTATCGAATACTTTAACATATCTCCTCGTACAAATCTTACATGTGTTATTAATTTGTATAAAGGATATTCAAACTTATACCATAAATAAACATATACTATATATTAGCCTTTGCTTGCCAACTATATATAATTAGTAGATTCCATGGTGGTGCATATGTGGATTCTTTCAGTCTAGATGGGAAAAAAGAGGAAAATATATATATATATATAAATCTACCTTAAAAAAAACCCTAACAGTGTGAACTGATAATAAAGAAATATTATTTTTGGTCATCATCTTATAGACAAAACCCTCTTTTAAAATCTGTTTGATGCAGTTGCTGCTCTGGAAAAAACAACATGAATCTTATTATAGGGTTTCGAGTCTACTGCTTAATTAAGTATATGATTAACTTTTGGAATTATTTACTACTATATATAATTTCACCAAATACAAGTTGTATTATATACATATATATTAATTATTATTATTATTTTATATAACAAGAGTGAGTTTTTAATTACTTTTAGAATACGGTTTTAATCTATGTACATTCAATCAAGTTCGTATATGAAATTTAAAAATTTTATTGGCGATCTATAATTTAAATCCTCTTTTTCTATTTTTGAATGCCTCTTTTTCTCTTTTGAATAACTGGTCCAAGGCCTCCAAGCTGATTTAACATGCTGTCTTTGTTTTGGGAAAATGCCATGATCTTCCCTCTTTGCAGCCTTGTCTTATTGACTGTTTCAAACCTCAAAGCTGGTCTTTGGGGGAAGAAGAAAAGGGGAAAAGAGGGGGTTAGCCAACTGTAATTTGCATGCAGACAATTGTGAAGCAAATTGCTTCCAGCTATATGTTCTGTCTTTTAGTTTTTGTTGTTGGTTGAGTTCTACCTTTATCCTTTCTTCCCCATGGATTCTTCCCTATCCATACAATTCAAACTCCCTATGCATTTGAAAACACTTGTCCTAAAATGCTAGCAATATATCTTTACATTGAAGATAAGATCTTCGGGGTATATTTACTTAGCCAATAAATACTTAGAAAAATCTATTGTCTGTCTTCATTTTGATCTGGATTTTGCCATGGAATTTTATTATAGATAATTATCAACATCCTTAATCAACCAATTATATGTCTAGTCTGTTGTTTTTGGTAATTTTTTCAAACGTTTAGACTGTCAAGACGTGAACAAAAAACATATAGTCAAATACAACACGTTGAGGAATGTGATGGGGTCCTTGAATTGATTAATCAAAGCTGTGGAATTTTACCAGAAAGAAAGCTGTGGAATGTTCTTTGTATTTGTCACATGGCCATGTCTCCTTGACTCAAATTCTAGGGAATAACACTAGGATCCTATCAACAAGGTTACAACTTCTTTCTAAGACTCACCGAAAGGTCATAGGTTTTAGTTAAAGGTTCAGTCCGTCTCAGTAATTTTAAAGTTTAATAAGAGGTTAAATGATTAGTTATAACATATTTTAATTAATTTTTTAATATTTTGTTTTGTTCTCTTAATATAATTTATCAAGATATGAGTTTTAATTTTGATTTGATTGGAAAATACGTACATATATCATTAACTCAAATGCTTCAATGCGACAAATTTTTTTAATATACTAAAAGATTTATTTCGATATGATGGATTTTTTTAATATAATTAAAGATTTAAAAACAAATGTGTTAATGGCTCTACTGAAATTTAAGATCAAACTCCATTTCTTAATGAGACCCCTTGTTGCTTGCTGCAAACTTCCTTGTAATCTGACAAGAAACCACTTGTGAAGAGAACAATTCAAACTTGACCAAATGATTGTTTTACCTCTTTTTAGAGGGTAAAATACAAATCCCAAGGTAGGGTTTAAGAGGAAGATGCCTTACTCTTCAATTAGGCCTAGTCATAAGAGGAAAAAAAGCTTATATTATCTCATTTGAAAGAAGGAAAATGTACTGATTTCAATGAATTGACTAATTGAGTGTTCTACAAATTGTAATCATGAAAGTAATAAAAAACATGTGCATAAAGTGAGAAACAAAATAACAAGGTTAGGTAGTCTTGATCTTATCTTTAAATTTGATTTGTCAGTACTTCTAGGCTCTAATGTTGTGTCAAATGAATGGACATGCACTCAAAAGTAGAAGTGGAGAACTTTGGTTTTGGGATTTGCTCTTGCCTCATTGTCATGTTTTGCTTATTCCTTGCATTTCTTTCACCTTGAAATTTTGAAAGGGTTAGACAAGAAATAGGAATTCATGAGGGGATTGAAGTCTCTCAATGTATCAAAACAAGTTTTCAGTCAAAATTACACTCTCATCCCTTACACTACCAAAACCATGGGTCCAAAAATCCAAATAGAGACAAAAAAAAAAAGAAGATAAGATTCCCTCGGAGTTCAAATTGTTCTGAGTTATCAGATTGAAGCAGGGAGGAATGAAGAAAGAGATTATGGAAAAAGAGAAGAAAAAAGAACATTAACTTCGTGGCTTTTGTTGGATTATCAAGTCTTATTAGTTCAATGCGGATGGAGGTAGCCCATCAACAAAGATTGGGTGGTGCACATTGTGTCATAACTCAAAAGCCTAAGATTTGATTATCTGTGGTATCAGATTCAATAAGAGGCAATTCTTCATGAAACCATTTCAGTCAGTGTAGTAGCAAAAACTTATACTTTCAAGTGAGAGTGTTTATAGCCTTTGATTGAACTATATCATGCAAGAAAAGCTCCAATAATGGGATAGACAAGTTGGCCACTATAGCCCAATGACTGGATTATGAAGCTTAACTAAGTTTTCTGCTAAAGATCACCATATATTAATCAAGAAGAGGCTCAAGAAGCAAAACTTGACACTGCCACATTAAAGAGCAGAAAAGGTGCGCAACAGAACACTTTCCAGGTTCAAACAAAAATATTTTCCATTGCTGGTTAAAAGCTAGGTTACAAAATCTTAATCCTTCAAGAATCTTAAGGATCTTTACCACATGTTTATCATTTCAAGATGACGCTGGAATACCAGGCTCCTCAATTTGAATAGATGTTCTGGACAAACTAGCTTCAAGCTCATTTAGCTCATCCATATCAAGCTCATCATCTTCATCATCAAGAAGGATGTCATCAGAATCAGCAACTGCACTAGTTGCATTACTTGGCCCAGCTGCTGTTGAATCATCCTTGACCTGAAATTGAAGACAATGAAAATGAGCTAAGAAAGCATAAATAAGATGTATTTTAAGTTGTCATGATGCTTAACAGAAGAAAACCCCCATATACTATGAGTTTCTACCCACTGTAAATCAGATGATCGAAATAGCAGTGTTATCAGTTCAAATTCTAAGTTTGCAGATCCGATAAATAACATATTCTGTTCCAATCCGTGTTCTCAAGCATTTCCAAAATCCAAAGAACATCAAAGTGGAGGGCACCAATAACCAATACATGCATAGCCCACTACTGACTTCATGCCAGATGAGTGGAGCTTGTTTTTGATTTGCTGTTCAACCATGTAGGATGTGAAGCAGTTTAATTTTTTTCTGTTCAAAGTCCTACTGCCAATGTATGGTTAGAGTATGTATGAAATACTAAAGGGTATCCAAGATTTCAATATGAGGCACTACACTGTGAAACATGATAACTCCAGTACTCCACTCTACAAGTAACATCCCATGGTAATTAATGACTACGCATGTACACATGAAAACATCCATGATGCATGCTCTTCTGTTCTGTTCCAAAGCAAGCAGGTACATAGAACGCCGAGGAGAAGGTAGGTGATCGAAAAAGCTAGAGATAAAGACATGCATGAGTGGACAGCCCAACACTTTTAGGAAAAAAAATTGATAGAGATCAGAGGAAGCATTCATGTAATGGTCAATGCATGCCAACCAAAAAGGAAAAGTGAGCTGATATCAAAGTAAAAAAATGTTATAAGGAAGACTCAAATACAAACTTGAGGCTCCAGATTGCTGTAAGTTGGAATCAGAAAATTTAACCCATGGGGGAATAAGAAGGCCTTTTTCGCTTTTCTTTTTTCTGTTTGTTTGTGGTGAGTGGGGGGAGGGAAGAAGGATGTTGAATCACCAGGAAAACAAGTTTCCAACTGCCAGAGAGTTGTCAATGATACTGAAAATTAATAGTAGAAGAATTACCTTCTGCTCAACAACCTCAGGTTCTTCTCTCTGGTATTCCTCATATGCCTCAGCATCATCCACAAACAAACTTGCATCCAAGAGAAACAACTCACGGCCACTGAAATAGACGAACAAATATATAATAACATTCCAATGCAATATTTTTAATACAGAGCAACCTGCAGGAAGATAATACCTCATGCGATCATTCTTAGCCCTCTCTGCTCGTTGTGCCGCCAAACCAGCTTCTCTTTCTTCCATCTTTTTCGTCTTCCATTGCATAAATAGCTCAGGAGTCATCGGAGTGGATGCTGTTACTTTAGAGCGCTGAAATAAACAGACAAACAATTAGAACAAGAACGAATACGAGCACAGAAAACAAGAAAATATTTGCACATATAAGCTAGAATGGTCCATTTATTGAGAGAAGAAGGAAAAAGGAAACTAAATGGCCATTGTGAGTTGTGATACATAAAAAATAGAAGCAAACTACGACTTGGCAAACTTAAATATGATTTTTTTACCTGGTTTTCAATCTCTTCCTCAATAGAAATCTTCTCACTCTCTTCCTCCAAAAGTGTCTTCATCTGAGACTTCAAAACATATCCTGGAGGAAGAGCATGCCTGTAGTGACAATCTTTGCCACCATTTGGGCATGCCCAGAACCAACCATACTGTTTCTTTTCCACAGCTTCCAGAAAGTATTTGCAAACCTGCACAGAGGTATCATAAACCGTCAACAAATAATGATACATTGTTACATATATAACTGCAGAAAGTAGTAATCAGATCACAAAGAATGAATCTTATTGAAGAACAGTAGACAAAATGTAATTTGTTAAGAATGGCTTGGGCAGATTAACGGCTGAACGTCACCTAAGCCTATTAAGCTCCAAGAATGATCTGGAAGATCTACTTTTCATTCTTCCTATTGAAATCAGCAAATCCTTATCAGCCAAAATTAAAATTAACACCTAATGATCATAATTAGTATAAAAATCTGAGCCCACTTGACAAAACCTAATTGCCAACATAATTTTCTACCTTCTACGTTTTTGCCCTTAGTCACACTAATTCTTAGCCTCCAAAATCATTCTTTCATTGCTATCCTTCATCATGGGGAAAAAGACAAAGCAGAGCAGAAACTGTAAATGTCAAGATATGATTAGCCAAAAGACCATCAGCATTGTATGACAAGAATAGATTGAGCAGGAAAAAAATTACATACAATCTCAGTAGGCTTATTCTGGTTATACTCTGTTTTTTTTGATTCCACAACCTTCTCCAGTGTCTCCTGGTCCCAGTCCTCCATCGTTTCTTAAGACAAAATCACCGCAAAAAAAATCAAAATCCCATTGATACAGAAAAAGAGAAACGAAAAAACAAACAAGAAAGAAGAGTCAAAATATTGCATAATAACTGAATGTCTATCAGTATCAATTACCTTGATCACGCTTGTCACTGTAAATATCAATCTTCTCACCCTTCCGCTGAACGTTCAAATCGTGTGAAAACTTGCACTTAAAACCCTTCATACATTGTCCCACTTTAAAAAATTCACACACTATGGACTTGGGATCCACACCTATTCAACATGCAACTTCCATTATCAACAAAGCCAACCCAGTGTTTAAATATGAAACATATAAACAACAAATAACTCAGTTCGGAAAAAAACATCATACATACCTAGTGGTACTTTTGGTTGGGTAACAGCAATTTTGAACAAATCATTCAACTCTTTCTCTCTTGCTTTCTCTTCCTCTTTCTTTTTCTGCTCACAACATCCATAAAAGGAGTAACCCAGTTACTATAACTATCAGCTAATTCTTTTTCCTAAATCAAAAAGGAAGAAAAAAATCTGAGCTAATTTTTTATTCCACCAAGCACAACCTCCTAACTAAATTTCCAAGCTTTTCTCTAATCATAGCTAACAAATTTCCATCCAAATATACCCACTTTCAAAATCCTTACATTACAATTATAATAACATTAATTATTCAGAATTGATTTCATTATTGTTTTTCCTACTTACATTTTACTTCCTTGAAAGTTGCTAATAAATAAAACACAAATACTAAAAAACCAGAACTACATTTATTAAAGATGAAACCATTAACTAAAATGCGCTACTACTAATATTTACTTCAATATTCAATCTTCAAACAAGCAATTATACCATATAAAACTAAAATCATAAATTTTATGGTTAAAATTTTGCAAAACAAACAAGGAGAATTTAATTTAAAAAAAAACTTTTAAAAAAAATAAAGAGAAGGGTACCTTAGCGGCGACTTTAGACGGGTCGGGTTTGGGTTGAACCGCTTGCTGGAGGGTTTGGACATATTTCTGAACGTTTTTGCTTTTGTTTTTGTTCTTCAGACCGAAGGTTTTGTCTTCTACGATTTTTTGCTTCTTCGCCACATCGGCTTTCGATTTCGCTTGCTGCTTTGGGGGCATTGTTTTGGGAATCGGGGAAAGAAAATAAATTAACTAATTAAAATCAAAAGGAAAAATCGGTGAAAGCTTGAAGCTTTTCTTATTTTGCAGGGAAGATTAGGAAATAGGGTTTTAAAGAGAGTTTAACAATGGCGTGGAGATTGAGAGAAGACACAGACAGGATGGAGGGGATTTTGTTCTATTTATCTGGAAATGACGACTTTGTCCTCGCTCAAGGGTTAAGTTAATGGTAACACAAAATTGTTTATTTTAAAAGTATTGTTTATTAATCATTTTCATAAGTTTTTATTCGACGTATATTTTTATGTATATGAAATCGTGTTTATTGAAAGTGTCTCGAAATCATTATTTATTTTATATAACACATTCATGATTTATAAATTTTTTCAAAATTTTTCATTTATCTTATATAAAATTAAAATATCATACATATTTCTTTTAAAACATTTCGACTTATATTCTTTTTCACTCGATCCAAACATATTCTCGTACCACCCATCACCTTGTTTACTTTCTTTCTTGAGACGTTTAGTGTAAATCGAATCTATTAAAGTATTAATTTATTACAAATTATTATTTTACTTGTAAAAAATTAATTTGATGAATCATATAATATTTATATTTGTGAGCTTTTCAAAATCTATCTTAAACGAGATTAAACATTTTATTTATTTCTTTTTAAGCGTATGACATGACATAGGATTTTACCTATTTGAAAATTTAATAATAATGGAATACAAATTAAGAAAAAAAAAACTTCAACTATTTTGGTAATTTTCAATTGTTAAGAAATAATATAACTAAACGACGTCGTTTAATGAATCTTAAAATAACGGTCAAGAACTCCAGGGAGGATGAGAGAGAGGGAGAGAGCCACCGGCTTCAAGCTTCTGGTGACCACGAGAGCTTGCACTTTACAGAGAAGGAAGGAGAGAGAGAGCTAGGTTTGGAAATGAGATTTCACGCAACGACGATTTCTAGGGTTTCTCAATTAAAAAACAGAGCTCCTCTTTTGTTTCAATCGTCTCAGCTTCGCTCCAACCACCAACAAAGGTTCACTTTTTAGAAAAAAAAAGCAAATTTTGTTTAAATTTATTTTTTGGTTCCCTAGAAAAGGCATGGAAAATAAGAATGAATCAGAAATTTTGAAAATTGAGGTTGTTTTTCCAATTTCAGGTGTAATTTTGGAATTGCATTTGATATCGACGGGGTTGTTCTTCGTGGCCGTGTTCCTATTGGAGGTTCTCCACAAGCTTTGAGAAGATTGTACGGAGATTCTGGTACTATAAAAGAATTTTATTTATTTTATTTTCTTTACTATCATGAATTTTATTTTCTCTGTTTTAAATTTGTTTGGTTGCCTTGAAATGAAAGAAATTAAGAAAAAGAGGAAAAACTAACTGTTGATCAGTACGACTAATTGCTAATATATAGTATTTTTTTTAATGAATTCTTCAACAGGTGAATTGAAGGTTCCATACTTGTTCTTGACAAATGGTGAGTCATTTTAAATTGAGTCTAGTTTATTTTTAATATTGATGGAACCATAAAGATTTGCATGGATTATACCATTTTACTCTTTTAGCTATAATTTTATGAAATGATGCCGAACATATATAATTAAAGGTCTACATTGGTGTTCTGGTAGTTGGAAAACTGTGAACTTATTCAGCATTATATGGCAATCCAACTGCAACGCCGAATTTAACCTATGGAATATTTATGTGAGAGTAGTATGAGGAGTATTATATTATGTCTTTGGTAAAATGACATGGCTGTTTGACTTAAATAGGAGGAGGTGTCCCAGAAACTAAGCGAGCTAAGGAGTTAAGTGAACTTTTGGGAGTAAATATTTTGCCTTCTCAGGTAGAGTGTAGGTGTTTTTATATGAATGTGGAGTTTTCCATGTTTATTACGTTTGTGTGGTTGAAAAATGGATTGCTGACATTTACTTATGATGCAGGTCGTACAGGGTCACTCACCTTTTAGAAATTTATTGAAGAAGTGAGTAGATAATGATTCTGCATTGTATTTTGACTTACCACATGCTATCACTAGATTATCAATAAATGAGATCATGGTTACTTGAGGTGTTGTAATTGGATTTATGCAAGCTAACTTTGGATTGGTAAATATCAACATTTGCTTCTTTTGGGAATTGCAATGAGGATGACTTTGATCTCTTCCATATAACGTGTTGGAAGAAAGTATGCGGATTAGAGGATCAACTGTGGAGTAGCTAAGTTTCCAAAAATCTTAAGATTTCATAATTGTATCAGACATTATAGGTTGTTGTTATTGATTTAATTGTAGTAGATAAGACCTGGGTGAATTGCGCATCATCTTGTTTTCTGAAAGGTATTCTATTTTAACAAGTTTAGCATTATCAGTTTAACTGAAAAGGAGATTTATATTAATTTCTAGAATGTGGAATCCTTTTCATTTGCTTCTAGAGTTCTTTTCTCTTGAATATTGACATCATTAACTTATAGTTAACATACAACCTATGCGTTACTCTAATTCTTTCCAATTGCCTTGATTTATTTAGATGTTCATGGTGGAGTTAGCTGATATTTGTTTTCTTTTGTTTTTTCCAAGTCAGATTTGAGAATGAACTCATTATTGCTACTGGGAAAGGGAACCCTGCTTTGGTGATGTCTGAGTATGGCTTCAAGTAAGGGCTCAGTTTCATGTTTAGGTCTGGAAAAGTCCTGATTTCCATTGCATAGGTTTTTAATATTTTTGGAAATATATACAGCTAAGTTATTTTGGTGCTAGAAAAGTTCTGTCAGTGGAAGAATATGCATCTTACTTTGATAGCATTGATCCTGTATCTCAATATAAGAGATGGACAACTGCACCACTGTCAGATAGGAAGGCACCAGCAGTGCCAAGATATGATGTTTTCTCAGAGAGGATTAAGGCAGCATTTGTTGTCAGTGATCCTGTAGACTGGGGCAGGGACATTCAGGTATTTCTTATTCTACTTTTGAATTAGAACTGTAAGTCTATGTGCATCTTCAAATCTCATCCAAAAGTCTCCTTGAATGGTGTACTTTCAAACTCTTTATTAAGCGATTTTCTTGTTGGTTAATTTGATATTGCACCATAACTTATTCTGGTGTTCATGATATTCAATGTGAAACGAAAGCAAGTTGTGAAATTGTTGAATTAGACACTTCTGTTTACTTTTCTTCAGAGAAAGAAACCATTAACAGAAATGTTGGAAACATTTCAATGGCAATGTCTTGTTCGTTGCTTGATGAAATACCCTTGTCCGAAATTTGTGAAACAGTTTCATGAAATCATTTGCTTTAAGATTTGAAAATGTAGATTTCATGCAACAATGTGGCATTTTGAGTTTCACATTTTAGATTAGATTATAGGTTGAACTGCTTTGCTTTATGAGGACTTGGATTGTGCTTTTGCTAAAAGTTGCAAGTAACCTCTACTTGTGGCAGTGGAAAAACTGTAATTACTCAACATTCTATTAGAAATGATCTTCTCCTTCCACAACATCTTATAAATTGATTGCTTGATTGCTTCAGGTGCTATGTGACATTTTAAGATCTGGGGGCCTTCCTGGAGATGCAAAAAGAGACCAACCACCTTTATATTTTGCCGCAGATGATCTTGAATATCAGGTTTGTTGTTGTGCTCATTTGTGTATGAGAGAGTTTCATGGAATGTTTCATAGGGACTCAGCATTGAACCATATTATGCACAGATGGACAGAGAACAATCCTGAATTCAAGGGGTTCATAATAGAACCTGTTTTCTTTTGCTTACAAATATCTGTAAACCTGAGAGTTTGAGATTGAATACATAAGGTTACAGGCCTACAATTGCCTGTGCCTATGCTGTGCTCTTGGCATCAAGCATGTTGATAACTATATTATTGACTATTTTAATGTAGTTACTAGAACTTCCACTTCTTTTGACTCGGCCTTAACTCTTAAGCAAACTTCTGCTCTGTGTTATGGGATAGGATTTGATTCTTTTAATACTTCTCATTTCCGAGAAGTAAATTTTGCACTAAACTTACTAGTACCCTGATCAGGCTGCCTTTCCATCTGAGCGTCTTGGATTGGGTGCTTTTAGAATTGCACTGGAGAGCATCTTCAACAGGTAAGGTTAATGTCTCATTGCATTAGATAGTTCACATCAAATTGAGAATTCAGCTTGAATCACCCCCTGGGTTGTATATAACTCCGTCGCCTTTTTCCAATAGAAAAGGGAAATACGTCTCCATTATTTTGACAAGAGAATTTTCTTGAATATTTTCTGTTTGTTTACTCCCCAAGTCAGGGAAGTGACTAAGACATTGGCATAGTAATACTTGTACATTCTGGTGTGACTGTTTTTTCATTTCAGGAAACTAAGAGATCATTCTTTTTATCTAGTGAAATATTTATCCTTAGATTTATAAACTAAGTTGTAGAATTTCCAGTAAGAAGACCTGAAGAATCATCTCTTCACCTGCAGGCTTTCAATAAACTCCATGTGGCCAAAGACTTGACGGATCATACATATAACCTCTTTGTAAACAGTTGTGTCGTCTATTACAACTTCTATGTTTGTCCTTTTTGCAGAATCAACCCCAAAGGTCTGGAGTATGTATCTTATGGGAAACCAAATCCATTTGTGTTCAAGAATGCCGAAGCAATATTAAGCCAACTCCAGTCATCTTCCTGCGTAGATCATTCCGAGAACAATGGAGTTTCTGGATCACATCCTTTTGAAACACTTTACATGATTGGTGATAATCCTTCAGTTGATGTCAATGGCGCACGACAGGTTTGTCTACATACACCTTATAATTCCTCAATCGTATGCATAAAACTCGCAGACAGAAGAAGTCCATTCAGTTATACTTTTGTTTGAGCCTTGAGGATCAAAACTTATGAACATCTTTTAATTTCCAGGCCGGGCATCCTTGGTTTTCTATCTTGACAAGGACAGGTGTTTTCCGAGGAAAAGATAATCATGCAGAATTTCCAGCAAACCTGGCAAGTTTACTAATCGATCTTAATGATGTCGAAAAGAAATCTGTCATACTTCTTTAGTTTACCTTATTAGAGGCTTCCCTGTTTGCTGTGCAGGTTGTTGATACTGTTGAGGAGGCAGTAGACTATATTCTGAGAAGAGAGTATAATTCTTAGCAATCAGCCCTTCTCCCAAGTGTTTCTTCATTTTGTCCTTGGAAACATATTTTTGGTAGAACCAAAGCTCATTGCCCCAACAAAATTTTGTGGTTTATTTGAATGCATTCATAGATACCACCATTGGTAATACTATGTTTCAGGTCCAGTTTGACATTACAATTACGATAAAATATTGAGATCGAAAGGATTTTCTTTCGTAATTGAGATTTAATTGTAATTTATATTTTGTTTAACCATCGTAATCTAAATTTTCTCTATTATTAATGGATATCATTAAAGAAATGTCATTTTATCAATAAATTTATTTGATAAAAATAAAGTTATTTAATTTAAAATAAAAAAATAAAAATTGGATTGAATGTAAATTTTATGTATCAATATTATTTTAATAAAATTTTTACATATAATTGAATTTTTTGAATTGCATCGATTTATCGATTTTGATTTTTAAAATTATTTTTTATATAATCATATTTTGAAAAACAAACTAACTTGCTCTAAAACAAAGGGTAAAGTGAATTCTGATAAGTTAAAAAGTATTTTTGATTAGTATTAAACCATTCATCTAAATATTGGGAAAAATAAAATAAAATAAAATTCTGAAGGTCTTAGAGGTAATTTTGCTTCTACCCCTTGCAGTTTCAGTTCCTCGACCCTGCTAACTGGATAAGCCCCCGTAAAGCTCCCATTCCCGTCCTTGCGTCCTCTCTCTCTCTCTACAATGGAAACCACTCTCCTTTCCTTCCCTTCATACAAGCCTCCACCTTCCCAAACCCAAACTCTGAAACCCACAAACCCATTTTTACACTCTTCCAAACCCAAGTTCCCTTCCTTCAAACCCACCACCCCTTTCCCTTCCATCAAAGCAGCCATTTCCCGTACCAAAAAGGAAGAAACGGTTGAAAGGGTTAAAAGCCAATTAGAGAACTGTTACCTTATAGCAGCTGTAAAATACACGGGCTTCACTGTTAAGCAATTCCAGGAATTACGTAGATCACTTCCGGAGTCATCCAAGCTGCTCGTAGCTAAAAATACTTTGGTTCTCAAGGCTATTGAAGGAACTCCCTGGGAAGCCTTGAAACCTTGCATGAAAGGCATGAATGCTTGGCTTTTTGTTCACAGTGAAGAAATCCCAGATGCTATTAAGCCTTACAGGACGTTTCAGAAGGAAAAGAAGGTTGAAAATGACTTCACAGGGGCGGTTTTTGAAGGGAAGTTTTATGGGCCTGGAGAGTTTAAGCAGTTGGAAAATATGCCTACCAGGGCTGAGATTTATGCTAAGCTTTTGGGAAGTTTACAGAGTCCTGCTATTGGACTTGTTGGGACACTCCAGGCTCCAGCCAGGGATGTTGTAATGATTTTGCAGGCTTATGTAAAGAAGCTGGAGGAGGAGAGTGGGCAATAGTGGGGTTTTCAGGATTCCTTGGTGGAGGATGGAGAGTCCTTCAACTTGTAAGTGTAATTTAAGAACCCCTCTTTTTTTTTCTTCTTGTTGTATTTAAAGAGAGAATTGCGTCAATTGTGCTAATATGTTTTTATTTTTGTAAAATAATGTAAAATTGGAATTTGAATTGGTGATGTTGAACCTCATTGCAAGATAAACTATTTAGTGATTCTTTTGAATTTTGTCATCTTCTAGTGTGTTGGATTTATGGTTATTTCATTTCTCATTGTTGGTGCCTACATTTGATTTTAGCATCTCTATCTTAGGAGCTCACATCTTTATCCCCAATGGAACTTCCCGGTTGTTAGAAACTAGGACTTTTAACCTAGATATCTCTGGCTCAAATCTTGGAGATGGAAAGATGTGAGATTTATGAGATATAACAGAAAATTACTTCCTGTTTTTGTGTAGCTCAAACTTCATGGGCTTCGATATGTAAAGAAGAGAGAAAAATAAAACGATGATCAGCATTTCCTAGTGAGTTTTGTTACTGCTGCAAATCTTGGTCTTGTTTGTACCATGCATGACATTTCATTAGAACTGAAGTTGAATGGTAAAGCTAAAAATTCAGTTACTTCATCTGAGGGTTCTTACTCTGGTATTTTTGGTCATTTATCATTGTATGCATAAATTAAGCTTGCTAGATTTTGGGGAACTTGATCGTTTTCTCCTCAAGAAGTCTATTTCTGTCGTGGATCTACATGTAAATGGATCTTTTGAGATGCTTGGGCTGTCTGTTAAGTTATTTAGATTGGAGATAGGCAGGCCTGATTTTGATTGATACCTGTTTTGTTCCTGAAATTTGTATGTAGCAATTAGTACTAGTTGTTTTCGTCTAAGGTCTTACAAGCTGCAGAAAGTAAAGGTTTCATTTAATTGAATGACTTAAAAGCTGTGTATCAGAATATGAGAGTAGAAGACATGATTTTGTTACTGAGAGTTGTGTTTCCCATTGATGTCAAAAGTATTTCAATCTGTTAATGGGGGAGATTTTTTCCAAATCAAAAATAGAGCTTACAGTGAGCATTATATCGTGTTTAGATCCCTCATACCAACTTTTACACGGATGCTTTGTGCATTTTAATTGCTGAATTTCTTCCCTCAAATTGTCTCAGAGATAAAAGTAAGACTTGAAGAGACTCTCCTCCACCTACTCATCTATCAATAGATGCAAAGGAACCCAAAATCCTTCCCCTGTTACAGCACTCACCAACCTCAATTGGATCAGAAATGTAGAAACAACCCTGTACATTAAGCTTTTCACCAACACCATTAACTCCCAAACAATTGCCTACCTCTTCTTGATGGTGAGGCTAGCACACCAGCATCACAGAAGCAGCCATATCAAGAATCATTCCATGGTAACCTCAAAATTGCATCACTTGCAGCCTGCAAATGCTGGCATCTTCTTGAAACACAAGTCTAAAAATATAACTGCCATTATCTGTAATGGTTAATGCTAAAATCTGGCTCTGGAGTCAACATTTGTGCTTAGCTGAATACCTGCAAGACAGAGGCCGTTAGAAAGGCTGGAGCTTGGCTCAACTATCTGACAGTGAAGTCAGAAAATATCAAAGAGTGTAGTAAGAGAATGTATAGAGAGTGTCTGAAAGAGAGAAACAGGAGCCTCCTTAGCTTGGCCTATAGAAAGGGGTATCGAGATTGGCATAATGCCAACAGTGTCGTTTTTTTTCCCGACAAAGGGTTGCTTTTACAATCATTTCTTAGCTAGGCAGTGCAAATTGAATCCACAAACAATTCTTGCTATATTTTGGCAGTAACTTTCCAACAAAACGGCACAATTTCAACAGGGATGGCCAATCCACTCCTCCACAAAACCCCACGGCGCCCCCCACACCCCCACAAAATACTTCACCAACTTGGGGTCATCAACAATAAGAACAAACGTCTGGCAAGCACCTCCCTCCACCTTCTATCTGAGAAGCAAAAGGGACTCTTGTTTCAAGAAATATGAAAGGGACAGATATTCATAGGGAAGGTAGTTTTCATGGTAGAACACATTTATAAAAAATAGTACAGCATAACAACAATTAGAATATAAAGCATTTCTTCATTATGTTTGCTGATAAGAGAACAACTACAGAACGTTGGTGGTGAAAGTCGTGCAAGTATGTAATTGCAAAGAAAGTCGTTGAACAACCTTGGCAGGAAACAACATGCACTTTCAGCATTCTATATTTCTAGCAATTTCGAGAGCTATGGCCCCAGAAAAAGGAAAGAGAGTGAGAGCTGCACTGACAGGTCCTTGCAACAAATTGAATTGTAAAGAGTGAATAAGTCAAAACAAAGCTGGATCAAGTTTAAGGCTAAGGCTCAAGTTTTGCACAACCAAAAAAGAATTTAAAAAGGAAAAAGATCATGTTCATTGTTGATAGCATAGTATATGAAATTGACAGTTACCAGCAAGCAAATTGGAAGGAAAAGAATCTTTGCTTCAAATGGGGTTATGAAAATAACTTGGTGGGTCAATTATTCTCTTCAAACAGAAATCAATGGGCAAGTTTCTCCCTTTGCATTGCTTGAAAATGACGAGTAAAAAACCATGTTCCTCTTTTTACATTTTGCTCTTTGATTTGCTTAAATTTTGCAACTTCTCAAAGCTAAAATCTGTAATCAAATCCTTTTCCAGTGCCAGCATGCAGTAGCTGGACCTTCTCAAAACACAATACCTTCTAACTTTTGGAGATTTAATGCTCTCAAAAAGGAAAATTTAGATTCAAGTTGCTAATAATAAAAAATTTGGAGCTTTCAAATACAACTCATCAATTATACTACTAGTCAAACTCAGATGGAAATTTCATATATTGATTCATTGGAACCATAGCTGGTGTACAGATTGATGAAAGGGATGGCCACTTCAATTTAAGCAATTGTTCTTTTTATTCTCATGCACTGCAGAGCAGAAGATTCACATCTCATCTTCAATGAACTCAATGCCATTTCCTCAGTCCAATTCCAAATGCAGACCAATCCCATGAAGCTGACTAGAAAACTGCAAAAAACCTCCCTTTCAAATCCCCAGTTTTCTGTTTTTAAAACCCAGCACCAGTTCTCTCAACCTAATGAAAGCAAAAGAGTGCCACTTCCATGGTGAGGAATGAAAACCATCTGATATGATGCCTTACCTTGGCTGTGAAATTCAGAGGATATCCCAGATTATACCTGTGACAAGTTATTATAGGCCAGCACCTTTAGATTGTGAAGGAACCACCCATGGAAAAATGTATTAGGAAAACTAGTATTCTAAAACTTCAAGGACAAACTTATGTAAATCATGAATTACACCAAACAAAAATTGGAAAGAAACATTGCTATGTTAAAATATTAGAGGCATAAAATAATTGAATGGCATCAGACATGTCCTATAACATGTGACAAAGGAATTGCTTTAAGTATAGCTATACTAGTGTTCCATTCCATATGGGAGATCTCATGTCTGAAATCCCTCTCCCTTGATAGTATAAAGTAGCAGGAAAAAAACCAAATCACAACAGAGTTTCACTGCTCACTAGAGCACAACTAGTGCAGACAAAATGAAGAAGTAATTGCCTCTCACCAGCTTAATCTTTGCCATCCAAAGTGTCTGACGAGATTGAAAATGTGAAAGAATAAAGAATAAAAGCACACCAGCTTGGCAAAGAAAGTAGCCACCGAGGATAGAAGTATCACTTTTAAAGTAAAGTCATAAAGCTTCGGATTCCCTTCCATCTTTAGATTAATTATGGTTAAAAGCATCAGAATGGAAACAACATTTGCCAGGTGTTGAAGCACATAACAGTAAACTTTAAGCATAATATATTTCTCAAGCATTATCTAAAAGGCCATATCAGCCAAGCAAGAAGCATCTATCAACAAAATCAGCAGGCACGATAATGCCCACTAAATCTCCAATCTCAGCATTATAGGCCTCGATCATCTTTGATTAAGATTCTAATATACTATTTATTACATAGTGTTATGTACCATTCTAGAGGTGCTTGGCCAAGATTGACTCAACAACTCCTTGAGCTATGGGGTGATAACAGTCATGAGCCTCAGCGAATACCCTTTTGGCCAAAATCTTCTCTTCCTCTTTTCCAATACCTTGTACTAGAGCAGTATAAAGTGGACGAAGGTACTTCATCCTCCCAACTTCCTTCAAAGTTTTCTCCACCTCACCATAGAAATCTCTGCACTTGGCAAAAATGGCCAGTTGAAGAAAAGCCACTTTTACCTCATAATCATTTGATTCTGATAGCCTGTAGCGTGCATCCAAGGCAAAGACCTGCATAATACACAAAACAGTATCATAAGCTAACAATTGAGAAGAGGTCAGAATACAATGACTTGAAGTTTGCAACTATGAAAAGTGGATCTCTCTTTAAATGTTCTCCAAAGCTTAAAAACTCATATATATATGCCATAGGCTAAGGAAAGTAGAACATAACAGATCAAGTAATTTTATAACCTGAATTTCAAGAAAACATTATACAGTCAAGTCATCTCACAAAGCAGAAGAGAAAGAAGCTTTAAGAGAGAAACAGCACTACCTGGGAAGCCTCTACAACTTTAGGCAGGTTCTCTAAGTAGAGCTCCCATTCCTGCCCTTGCCAATCCGCAACTTCATCCTCCCTTGGCATCCTCCCAAGTTTGAATTCATTTGCCAATGACACAATTTTGGTGTAAAGGTTGGATACCGGTTCATATGCATCGGATGGGATGCCAGTCCCTTCAGTCCACAAGACCAGGTCAATCTCTTTCTCTATTCCAGGGGCATTTGCTTTCAGGAAGTCAAGAAATGTCTCAGTGTCAATTGATTTGAACTTGAAGGTGGCAATATATTTCTTGACAAATTCATCAAAGGCTGGTCTTCCAATCTAAGCAATCCAGAAAAACACATAATGGTGTACTCAGATTATTTACAAACAACATGAAAACTTAAAAATGAAAAACATAAGAAGAACATTACAACACACCTGACGTTCAATGCGCCATAGGAACTGAAAACCTTTCTCATATGGAACTTGGGAATAAACTGTGTCCGGGTCCACTCCTTCCTGATTGGTTTTGAGCTTGGTGAATTCCAAGTTGTCCTTGAACCTCTCGATTTCCTCATTTAAGCCCCTCCAACCAATCCCAATATTCAATACAGCTCTGTCTTCACCCTGCACAGCCTGAACAATTCTCCTCTCTGCGTATGTTGTAAATCCCTGTAACCACAAAGAGAAATAAGGTGAAATCAATTGCATCAAACTTGCAAAGATAACAAATCTCTCTCACTTCAAATATTTATCATCAACAAGAACAATATCTGCTTGATGAACCATAAACCATTCAGGTGAAAAATCATTCTTTTACAGCATGCATGGACATTCAAAGACACAGGCATGACAAAGTAACTACCGTAAAAAGACAGTATCCATCTCCAAACTTTTCAGTTTGTAAATAAGATAAGGGATGTTGAAATTGAAAGAAAAAGGCAAACAATCAACCAATTCATCAGTGTTTCCATTTTCGATAGCAAAAACAACAAAACCATTTAATAACAGCAAAGTTATTAATACTGCGTCACTATTCCCTACCATATCCTCACTAAGCTCAGTTAACAAGAGAACCTTTTTTCATACATTCAATCACATCATCAAAGTTTCCATACATAACCATTTCATAACAGCAAAAAAACAACATTTTAAAGATATACAAACAAATCAAACACCTACAAACAAAAAACCACCATATTACCTCATTCAACCAAAAATGTTCATTGTTCTTGTTAGTAATCAAATTCCCAGTCCAACTATGTGCGAGCTCATGGGCCACGACCTGAGCCCCACTAGCATTTCCTTTAATCACAGTTGGAGTCAAAAACACCATCCTCGGATTCTCCATTCCACCATAGGGAAAACTCGGCGGCAAAACAAGCAAATCAAACCTCTCCCACTCATAATCCCCAAACAGCTTCTCCCCTTGCCTTATCATATCCTCCGTCCCCGCAAACTCCTTAGCAGCAGCCTCCAAAACACCATCTGCCGCCTCTGAGTAAACCCTAGTCCTCGGCCCCACTTCCCTGAATCCTAACTCCCCAACTGCAAACGCAAACAAATAAGGCGGAATCGGCTGGTTCATATCAAATTCCTCGACTACCCTCGTTTCAGAACACCATAAAGAATTAAACCCATTGGGTAACAAATTCGAATACCCTTCACCGGAAACCGGTAACCGCCTGTCCACGTGGCGAGCGGACATAACAGCGGATAATTCTCGGGGAACATTGAGAAAAGCAGAATAACGGATGCGGGCGGCGGGGGTGTCTTGGCAAGGGAAAACGGAGCGCGCGTGGATGGATTGGCATTGAGTGTAAACGAAAGGGTGTTTTTTGTTGAACGTCTGCGGCGGAGAGAGCCACTGGAGGGCGGAGGAGGAAGGGGAAGTGGAGAAAGTGATGAGGAAAGAAGAGAGGGCAGCGTCGTTTGGGAGGGAAAGGGAGAGGTGGGTTCCTTTGATGTGGTCGCAGAAAGGCGAGAGGGAGAAAGGGATAGGGTAAAGGGTGGAAGGGGAGAGGACTCGGTGGATAGAAAGGGAGCGCGTGTCGAGGGAGAGTGGACCGGAGTGAGGGGAAGAGAGAGTGAAGAGAGCAGCACCGTGGATGGTGGCGGAAGGGAAGTCGAAGTAGAGGGAAAGAGCGATGTGGGTTGTCAAAGGGTGGGTCGAATCGGTGAAGGAGTGAGGGTCTAAGGGTGCCATCGGAGCTAAAAGGAACGGATCGACAAGGTTAGGGTTAGGAAGGAAATGGGGGAGAATGGAGGTATTAAAATGGAGGATCTGGGACTGTGTGTTATGTGTATTTTAAAAATGGAGGGAGAATCAATATTGGAATCTATATGAAAAGGTCACATTTGGATCTAGCTCCCTTTTTTGCTCCTATTTTCTGTCTCATTTTTCTATCTCATGTCCTCTACAATTAATCTTAATAGAGCATAAAGCCTTTGCATTCTTCCATATAATATAAGATTGAAATATTCTATTTGTGGTTTTAATCCTTTGTCGTGATATTTTTATCAGATTCAATTTAATTATCGATCAACTTATTTATTTATTTTTTTAAATTGATCGAATCAAATTATATTCGTTAACATACCATTTTGTTATTAAATTATAATTATTTTCTTAAAAAATTAACTAGATAAAATATATAACATCCACTGTTTTAAAATTTTTAATTTCTTCAATATATTATCGAAACACGTTGCTTACTTCATTTGAAATGATTAACGTGATATACACACCCAACTCTTTACAAAAATTTTAAATAATAATTTATAAAAATTATACGAACTAATTGTTTTTTAATATAATTTAATGGTTTTGTGGCAATCCTAGTAGCTACTTGATATATATATATATATATAATATGAAAACATAATGTGATTTTTTTTTCAACTGAGCCCCAAAAAAAAGCCTCTGGTAATGCATATTGAAACAATTTTTATATAGTGAGATGAGGAAATTGCAAGTATACGGGCCGGGCTGTCTACCCAATGCAAGATCCATTAAGATCATGGGTCTTGGCCCATGTTGGGCCTTCCATATCACGTTTACGGGCTGTTGCAGATGGTCCGTTACCACAAATTGTGCTACGAGCCTTTCACAGTTTATTTGCTTATACGAGTTTATATTTAATATATTGTTAATGTATAGTATTTATATATTACAGTAAATTAAATATTATCATTTTATTAATAGATAAATTTAAAAATTAAAAATTTTAAGCGATAAATAATTATAATTTTTAAAATTATTTGTTTTAAAAACTACTACCATTAATGTGTTTTATAATATGTGGTATATAAAATAATGACATGTATAGTAAAAATATAATATAATCATATCATCAATATAATATAACATAAAAATACATTTGACGTTTTATTAATAAAACTAGACTACACACCACCTCTTTCTACCTCTCCTTTTCTTTCTGCAATTCATTTTTTTTATTTAGCTTTCATGTGATTAAAGAAAAAAACTCTTTTGTTATAAGAAAGTATTTAATTTTAAAAAATATAAAAATCTGTTAAAATATAATTAAAAATAAAAATTTATTTTAATTTTTTAAAATAATTTAAAGGGTTTTTTAAATATTAGACTGTGTAAAAATAATTTCAAATTTGATTATTTTTCATATCATTTGTTAAGAGGAAAAAAATTCTTTTTATGTTTGTTATCAATTTGTTAACACACTAGAGCTCAAAAAGGCATCATTATAATAAAATTTGAAACTTAAAATCCCCTGTGGGATCCACCCCATTATACCAGATCAGGAAATTGAACGGTTCAGATCTCACTTTCTGTCTGTGGGATCCAGTCTTAAAGGACCATGTCAAGAAAATAAACGGCCAAGAGAATACTTCACCCGCCGGTGGATCCCACATCCAGCTGACCTCAAAAAAAAATCAATTTTTATTATAATTTGCTGCACCCATCTTCAGCACCAGCGTCAAACAACTTCATTTTTTTTTCCTTCGAACACAAAAAGAAGAAGAAAAAGAAAGTTCCTATTTTTTCTGAAAATTTTCTGGGGAAACAAACAAGCGATGGATGATTACACGCGAGAGATGATGGATTTGAAAACCCTAGTTACACGAACCCTAGAGAAGAAAGGTGTTCTAGCTAAGATCAGGGTAAGAAAAAATTTTCAACTTTAGTTTCAGTTTTTTTCCTTTTTTTTTTTTTTGGAATTTCTTGTTTGGTCCTCGAGAATGTGAAAGTAAAGAGAAATGGGGTTGAAGAATTTGGCTAAGTTAAGTTAGATAGTTGAGTAAAGAGATCTTCTTTTGGCTTTGGATCTCGTGTTAAGAATAAAAACCTAACTTTTTTTTTAATTTTTTAGCTTTAGTAATAAATTGAGGGGGTGAATTGGGTTTTTAGAGTAGATCTTTAGCTGTTAATTTCGAACCTACCAATTAAAATTCATGATCTCAAAGCACTGAGGTGTGAGTTTTTTTTTTTGGGGGGGGGGGGGGGGAGGGGGGAGGAGGAATTAGATAAATGGATAAATTTATGTATTTTTGCTAATGTATTGAGGTGGAGTACTTGAAATTTCTGGAATAATGATGTTTAATGTGGTATACTGGAAATTTTGAATTTTTGGTATGGAGCGAGATGGAATTTTTTTTTTTTAAATTTTGCTGGATTGCAATTTAGAAACTTCGAATTAGCTGTGGCTTTTAGTATGGGGAATTTCTGTTATTTATTGTTGTACACTTCAATGCTTGTACATTTACTGATAACCTACAAAACTTCTTAATTGGCTCCAGCTTTTAGTCTGGGGATGTATTGGATTATAGGGAAGTGGTGGGGTTGCAGAGGGAAAGCTAAAATTGGGATTTGTGCACCACTTAGTCGCCAAGGAAAAGGGCAAGTCATTTTAAGTGATAGATAGCGGAGTACCTACTACTTGGGATTTATGCATTTTATTTTCTTAAATCTGTAAGTGAGCTGTTTCTAAAGGAAATAGAAGAGAAAGTTGTGTCTTGATTTTTCAGAAATGTGGAGCCTAGTTAGTGATGAGTGCCAAATTCTCTTTTGAACTTAAACAAGACTCCCGGAAAATCATTTTTCTTGTCCGCCTCCATTTATCCTTTTGGGGCTTCGAGGTGTGGTGAAGAAAAGGGAGGGGGGTATAACAAGTGCCTAGCGAAGTCATCATTAAGTTCTGTATGCGGTGGTAGTATTACTTTTACCTATTTGGATAGAAGTAGATCAGTAGTGTTATTATCTTTGAATAATTGTTGCTTGTGAAGTGTTCAGATTAATAAAGGTGTTTTTCATATGGTTTTAATTTTCTCTTTTCTCACTTGGATTTTTAATGTTAACATACTTGATATTGCTTTTTCCAAATGAATTAGGCACTTTAATTATTTTTGTTTTACCATTTTGGTCCCTCTTCCATCTTTCTTGCTAGGCTGAACTCAGGGCAAGTGTCTTTGAAGCAATAGAAGAAGAGGATCGAGTAATTGAAAAAGAAGAAGGTTTACCTCCTGCATTATTGGGCAGCTGCAATGATCGTGCTAAACAACTTCACGCTTCTCCTTCTGGTCAGTCAACAAATTTGAGCATTGTTTTCTTTGTATTTTTACATGGAAGTTATAAAAGTAGCCTGCATTTGTTGCTGACTATTCTTTTATTGCCAAAAAATGAACTAGTATCTAGTTTTCCTTTTCTTTTTTCTTCCTCAGAAGTGTTCCTACCTTTTATTGGCTTGTTAATCTTGTTTTTTGGGGGCTATTGTTTGATCCTCTAATGGTGTTTCTGCGTCCACTAGGGTTGGTAGTGTATTTAGTTCTGTGAGAAAAGTAACTAAATTACTCTATTTGTGCTTTGAGTTATAATAGAGCTTAGTGGCATAGTGTAACAACTAACAAGTCCCATATTGATTTGATGCTGATTTCCGTGCTTCTTGAGATAACATTTTATTTTTAAAAAATTCTGTTTGTTATTTCTCAGTAATCTTTAGAATACATATCCATCATTTTATATTGTTGTTCCTTGCGTGTAATTTTTAAATAGTTCATTTCAAAATTTTGAACTCATGCTAATGTTTCATTTTCATCTTCAAAATTTTTACATCTGCCTTTCCTGATCTCCTTTATAATGTGCACCGTGAAATGCAGGAAGACTGTTAACTGCACTAATATGCGAGTACTTAGACTGGGCGCAGCTAAACCACACACTAAAAGTTTATCTGCCAGAATGTAATTTGGTAATCAAGTAATTTTCAATGTATCATAGTTCTGATCTTTGCTTTAATATTTTATTCAATATTTCGCTTTTCTTTTTCTTTTGAAGCTTACATGTGAATCATTGGATATCTGTTCTTCTTTTACATTGTAGCAAAAAGATTTTTGGAAAGCTGAGTTGAAAGACTTTAGTGGGAAAAATGCTTATGATCTTAACAGAAACGGGGATAGTGGTCCTTTGCTTTTGGATGTACTTGAAGGCTTCTTGAAATTTGAGGTTAGTTAATCTTTGTTGCATATATTTTCAAACTATACACGTATTTTTTGGCTTATGATTTTTGGGCCATTATAGTGTTTACGTCATCTGAAGCTCATCTGTTCTTTGTTTGCTTTTGAGCAGCGATCAGTGTTATCTGGAATCTTACATTTTGGATTGAGAATGATGATAATTCTTTTCAGCTAAGCTGTAGCTTGCAATATTATTTGAATCTTTTTGTATCACCTTGTTTCAACTGTGGTTTGATGTCATGGATTCATCAACTTATTGGACAGAATAGTACATTAAGTGCTCTTGGATATCCATACGTCAACTTATGGATATATTTAGTTTGTGCATATATCAACTTATAGGACAGAATAGTAAAACATGTAGTTGTCTTTTGCTTTATGCTGGTTGAACTCCTAATTGAACCAAGGAAAGGCTTCCTAGCTAAGAAAAAAGCCATGATAAATGTTGAAAGTACAGGAGACTAGGGGAATAAGTTTTGTGTCTCTTCAGCACAGAACATGATCATTGATGTGTAATGTGGTGAGAAAAATAAATCCATGATGCTAATTTAAGGCTGTGACAAGTATAGGTGAAAGACTAGGTTTCATCATGTTTTAAGGAGATTCTAGTTGTCTTGAGTGAGAAGAAAATGTTCTCAGGATCCTTGAACTCTTTAATTGGATGAATTGGACATGTGAAGCTGAGGTTGATATTAAATGGTAAAAACATTAGACTTATCCTAGTAGTTGGGTTTTGAGGGGTTGTTTTCTAGGTCCGAATTCGAGCCTTTGTTAAGAACTAGTCATTTTCATGTATTGTTTGCAATTTACTTTCTGCTTTCATTATACAAGGGAGTTTGAGTTGTATTGAAGACGAGATGTTATTCGTTTTATCAAGTTTTGGGTGTTGTGTTAGATGCAATGTTATCCCACATTGCGATGACATCTTTCATTTTTTAAATGTTCTTCATATAATTTATATGTTGTGAAAAATAATGCTCACTGTTTTCGATCACGTTTTGTCAGAACTTATCCCAAGCGAAGGGAACTGGAAGGAGGCCACAGGAAATTGAGTCCTCGTCTAGTTTAGAGTCTCGAAACACAAGAAGACCCTCATCATCATCTGTTGCTGGTGGCTTGCCCCCATTAGGAAGGTGCTGGACTATTGTCTCCTCCTGAAATCATATTGTTATCTTTCTTGGTTCGCTCTTTTCCCCCCCAAGGCTGCTAAAACCTGACTAGTTTTGTTATTTTATGCAATAGGCCTGTTCCTGTTTCTCAGTCATCTGGTAAGTGATTATCTTATTTATATTTTAACATTCATACATATCTACTTTTTTGCTGTTTCCATCATCTGATAACTTTGGCCAATTAGATAGGAGAGCAGGATCCTCCATGTCTGGCTACAGGAAAGATGAGTACAGTTGGAGATATGACAATGATGAAATCCCAGAAGATGTGATTCGAGCTTCATCTGCCCTGGAAAATCTTCAACTGGACAGAAAAGCTAGGAATCTAACTACTTCTTGGCGGTTTGTTTCTCAACCCTGCTAATATCCTTGCCTCCTGGTTCAGTGTTTACTAGGAAAAATTAAATTTGCGATTTGGCTCAATAAACATGATTTTTAATATTTAATATAGTTTACTTGTATTGACCTTGTTCCTTGGAATGTTGCCGGCTAGTTTGCATTGTGGTTGCAATGCATCCAGCACATATTCTTTTTCTTCCACAGTTATGACCACTTTATCATCCACTAGTTGCAAAATTTTATGGCATCCTTGTGTCTCTTCAGAATCCATAATCATGAGAATGGATGAATGAATTTGCATTTCATACAATTTTGGATAAGTGTCTGCATCACCATTTAAGCTCTGTTTTTGACACTTCCATCATACTGAGATTGTTCTGATATTTGGCATGAAGACCAATGCATCTCTTTCCATTGACTGGTTTTATAAATGATTGATTTTAGATCCAGAGGAGTAAGATGAATGCCTATCACGTATTCATTAGTCAAATAACTGTAAAAAAATTCTATCAGTTTATGCTTAGCCAGTAAATATCTGAAGTCATATCTGCTTAATTTTGTCACAGGCATGCCGGGGATGGAATTAGCGAGGATGATGGTAGACCCGATCATATGTAGCTGAATGACATCTGTTGAATTATGGACCATGTAGTTTAGTGTGTATTTCAAGTTTTCGCCAAGCCAAGTTTCTTTTTTCTTTTTTTTGTCATTTTCAACCATAAAAGGAGGATATGTAAGTTCTATATATAATTGTGATGTGATTTTAGTGTTTCTCTTTGAGCTTTCTCTCCTCTCTTTCACTTCTTATCTTTTGGATCCATTTTAGTCTTTTTTAATCAGTTACTTCTTTATTCTAAGACCTTTCAGTGTATCAGCTGTTTTCAGGTTTTGAATTGGATGCTTAGATCAATTATTATTCTTTCAGGCTGAAAAATCTATGGCTGTTATCATTGTTGAAGTGTACTTATCTCTTTTTAGTGAGAACCAGAAGGATATGTTGCTGTAACTTACAAGTTACCAAAACTGTCTTGCTTCTCATCTCAGAGTGGATCTTAGTAAGCATTCTTTGTTTTTACTTTGTTACTTTGCACAAAAGAAAGGGTAATAAAATAATAATTGAAATTCCTATAATTAGTCTCGGTTAGTTAAATTATTTTTTATCATTTTATATCTACGTAGAATTGACAAAGTATTATCAGAGGAGTCAAAAATGTCATCAGGTCAAGTTATCATGTTATACATTTATTACGATATGTTAACATATTATATGACATAAAAATAGTAAATGAAGTTTTAATTAAAAATAATTAATTGAAAAAAATAAAAATATAAAAATTTAATCAAATGTAATAAAAATTAAAAAAAATTATTTGAATTTTCTTAATTCGGGATTATTAAGTATTATGCATTTTATTTTGTTTGCTTTATGTGGGTGCTTTAAAAGCTAGTGGTTCAAACATTAGTAATTCCAATAATTGAATAACCTATAATAAGACAAGTTCTTTTTTTAAAAATATTTTTGTCTTTTCTTTTTGAAAACAAAAGGGAAAAATAATACATGTTTACATATTACCATAAATTACAACTATTTTGTATATAAAGACTATTGAATTTTGGTCTTTTTATTTTTTCCCTTAATTATTTTTCTTCAAAAAGAGACCTTGTGTTGTGATACACAAATATTCTTTATTTATTTGTCTGTGAATGAATATTCAACTATAAATATAGAATTAATAAAACTATAATTCAAAATTTATATTTTCTTAATTTTTTGCAGAGAAGTTAAGGCAAGAACATGTAAACAATCAATAAAATAATTTTTGGGTATTAGAAAAAACTAATTGTCAATAAGAGTTTTTATTTACACTCTACTTAATCTAATCAACAAAGAGTTAGTTGACAAAAAATCTATTAAAAAATAAGAATTTAATTAAAAAGCCAACTTCCATCCATGTCATGCCAAAAACTAACTTAATTTCTGATTTTTCTCAATAAAAAAACCAAAAGTATAATGTTTTAATTTTTTTAATTATTTAAAAATTTAAAAATATTTTAATTACTTTTAATCAAAATTTTTATATTTTTATTTTAAATTAATTATTAATTAATTATTATTAATTAAAATATAATTTATTATTTTATATCTAAATAATATTGATGCGGTATTGATGTAGATATTAAAAAATATCATATAGCAACATCATCATCTACTTACTATTAATAAAAAAATAAAATTTATTCAAATTTTGTTGAATAAAAAGTTTTCGCTGTTTCTTAAAATAAGTAATGTTTGTAAATTTGAAGACAATTAAATTACCTTAATATTAAAATGGATCTTTGAAAGTAAAATTCAAATTCAAAATCATTTTTATGGATAAATTTTGAATTCAAAATCATTGAGTTAAAAAATCAATTATTACTTCCACTTTGCAAGAACTAATAAATATAATCATAAGGTCTTTTCAAAAAAAGAATATAATATTATCAAAATCCTTAGAATTAATTATTTATAATAATTTATTAAAACAAAATAAAAAAGGGGGACTCCCTCGTGGCAAAATTCAAAACGTCAAACTCTCGCACATTCTCCACGTTCCCTCACGTTAAGGAACCCAAAGAAGAGTATAATTTTCGAAGGCATAATTTTGTGTGTTCTTTTGCCAAACAATCCCTTCCCCTGCCCTTTTTACCATGGCGGTTTTCAGCCGTTGTTCCAGAGCTGCTACGGCGGCGACAACGCGAACGCAAACCGCCACCGCCACATTTTCTCGCATACTTCGAGCTCTCTCTCCTTCTTTCTGTTCTTCTTCCGTGTTAAATTCCGAAACTGACCTCAGTAATAGAAAACCCGCCTTGTTGGGGACTTTGAAGAGAGAGCCGACCGGTCGAAATGTCCAGTGGGTTTTCTTAGGGTGTCCCGGCGTTGGCAAAGGTACGTACGCTTCACGGTTGTCGAATCTTCTCGGCGTTCCTCACATCGCCACCGGTGATCTTGTCCGTGATGAACTCGCTTCCTCTGGTCCCCTTTCTTCTCAGGTCCAATCTTTTTTTGTTAGGGTTTTAGTTTTCATCTCTTTAAAAGAATTAGAAATTTGATTTCTTTTAACCGTTTTCAGATTAAAAAATGATTTTTTTTACAACATCTATTACTTTTTTTAACTGAATGGATGTTGGAAAGAAGAATTTATTGCCAATTAGCTTAAATATTTGTGATTTATTGCTGTTAATGAGTAAGTGAAAGAAATATTTAGAGAATTTGAGGTTTTGTTTAGTATCTTAGTTTGAGTAGTAAATGATGTGCAGATATTATTTTTGAATGATTAAAGTTAAAAGCTTTGGTTTTGTGGAACCATTATATTTGAATGTGTGTTACATTTTAACTTAATTATTTTCTTTCCATTTTTAATCAAATTGATTTTTACAGTTTTACTAATGACTTTGAAAAAAGCAAGGAGTAAAACCAATAAGCAAATGGATCCTTAATAAATTCATAACCTCTAAATTTTGTGCTGTTTTTAGCTATAACTAATTTTGGTTTTTGTGGAATTTGGAAATGATGGTACCTGCGTGTTCTGGAGAAAGACATTGAAATTGAAACATCATGAGGTTTTTTTTTGTTTTTTATATATATTGTTGTTTTTGCTTGGATTTTCTTGTTTTCTTACTAGTATTATATTTACCCTTGGCAGTTAAAGGAGATTGTTAACCAGGGCAAATTAGTTTCAGATGAAATTATAATTGAGCTCCTGTCAAAACGCCTTGAAGCGGGAGAAGCTAAGGGTGAATCTGGGTTCATTCTTGATGGTTTTCCTCGGACAATAAGACAGGCAGTAAGTGCTTCATTTTGACCAGTTGCTGGAATATCTTAGGTTGAACTTGATTTTACTTACAAGGAAATGTGAATATTAGGAAAGGCAGTGGTAAAAGGACTGGTACTCTGGAAAGAAAAAGTTATGCATTAGATACTAAATCAATCCCTTGCACCCGAGTATTTGGCTCATTGGTTGGTGCATGATCCCCTGCTTAAAGAGCAGGGTTCGAATCCCCTTTCCCCTACATCAAAAAAAAAAAATCAATCCTTTTTTATAGTTATATGCTGAAGGGTTCACTAGAAGCATGTATAGATTCCATCATAGTGTTTGAGATTAAAGTTTTCTGATAGCTTCTTGGTAATTTAATATATGCAACTTAGATTGCAACTCCTACATATCTTCTCAATGATTTATAGAATTGTCACTGATCATAAGTTGGATGGTTAAGCACTGGAAACTTTTCAAAACTTATTTTTGTTTGCCATATGCACTGTGAAGAATAGCGTTTTATCATGATAGGACTGAAAACTATTATATCAAAGCTGGTGATTTCATGTGGTCAAAGTTGTTATATTATTCACTACCTTTGTTTCATCAATAGTAAAATCTTGATTCCATGATAATCTGAAACTGCATCACACATAATGTCACTTTTGCTGCAGGTAATTTACTTTTCATATGGTCTAAGTTGTTACAATATTAGCAACTTTTGTTTCATCAAAAGTAACATCTTGATTCCATGATAATCTGAAATTGCATCAGAAATTTTGTTACTTTCCCTGCAGGTAATTTACTTACATATGCAGGTTTTTTCTAAAACTTTTATTAATTAATACGAAAGAGAATGAAATAGTCTTACAGAATACTAATTATTGTGGCACATGAATTCATCCTACTGCTATCTGTCATGGAATCCATTGCAGGCTGGATAAAGGTGAGACTTCCCCATTTAATGGAAAGCTGTGCATACATTGTTGGTTGTTTTGGTGTTCCATAAACGAATGAAAAAAGCCTTCCCCCCCATTTGGAGGAGGTGTTTGAGGGCATTGTTTAAATGTTAGGTACATTATTAGGAAACTTAAACTGTTGAGTTATTGAATATGTTTAGCATTTACAATGGCTCCATGCCTTGTTGTGCCAATTATCATAATTTAATTCTTCTGTAATATCTCTAAACCTGTAGTTACTATTTTATTATGCTTATATCCCAGGAAATATTAGAGGGGGTGACAGACATTGACTTAGTGGTTAACCTGAAGCTTCGGGAAGAAGCATTGCTTGCAAAATGCCTTGGAAGAAGGATTTGTAGTGAGTGTGGAGGAAACTATAATGTTGCTTGTATTGATATCAAGGCTGAGAATGGGAGGCCTGGAATGTACATGGCTCCACTTCCTCCTCCTCCTCAATGTGCAATGAAGCTTATTACTCGAGCTGATGATACTGAGGAAGTTGTTAAGGAACGGCTCCGCATATACCATGAGATGGTAATTTTCTACATTCCCATATATTTTTCTCTATTGCATTCTAAATATTTTAAATTTCAGGGAATGCTTGGGTATACTTTATTGAGGTTGAATGCACCTGACCTTTTGATACACAACCTTGTGATCTGGCCATTGTAATCGATGGGGGAAAGTTTATTCACTTTATTGACTGGTGCATTGTAAATTTTGTTGTTTGTGCAGACTCAACCTGTAGAGGAGTTCTACCGAAGTCGCGGGAAGTTGTTAGAATTTGATCTTCCGGGAGGAATCCCAGAATCCTGGCCTAAGCTGCTTCGAGCTTTGAATCTTGAATACCACGAGGACAAACAGTCTGCAGCTGCATGATGTCTTACATCTCTGTAACATGTCAACTATTTGCAAGGTAAGATAGGTCATTCTTTGCATGCACAACATGTGTATGCATATTGATTTTAAAACAGAAAAGGAAGAGAGAAACATTAAATCTGAAATAAAGCTAGACATGCATAAAGCCATAAACTACATAACAAGGTAGTTGTGTACTGGTATTCCTGAGAATGTGTAAAGTGGATAAGTTATTGTTTGGGGAGATGGGGAGGGCATTGTGTTATTTAAGTTGGCTACTGATGGTTTGCTTCAAAAAGAGTATACATCTGCTTGATGCCGGTGCCATAAGTCATTTTGCTGTATATTTTGTGTTATGTCAAGTGCATTAAAGCCGATTTTATCATTGTTAAATTTGGCATTACCCTCTGAGAAGGCAACTAGAACCAAACTTTGTTTTGACAAAAATAGAAATATTGATTAAAAAGCTTTATCTTTTATTGGTTACCCCGATTCGGGTATGACTATTTGATATGGGTATTTGAAGAGAAATGAAAAGTCAGAGCAACATAGTATATGTATATAGTTGTTCATCTGCAATGGATTCAGAATCCAAACATAAACTTGGGGGATGCTGAATCTATGGAGTAACTTTCTGCAGAGTTTCATTGGACAATGAAAGGATGTTCTTTTTAAAGAAGAGGGAGGTAAGGTCTGGTGTAAAACAATGGCTCTAGACCACATTGATGTATCTTACAATCTTACACCCAACATGAAAAGAAAAGATAGGTAGCTATTTCCATCTAAAAGTAATAGGACAAAAAAATCAATTCTTCTTAATTTGCATTAAAAAGAGTTTAATAATCTGATTTATTTGTTGCACTACTTTGATAATGGGGGTTTGATATTATATAAACCTTGGGTTATTTTTATATATATTGAAGATAATTTTTTGTATATTTAATGGCTCATTATTTAAACCATTTTGTTACAGAGAGTTGAAAAAAGAAAAATAAATTATACTTTTTATTCTTTTTTTAAAATTAATTATTTATTAAGAAATTAACATGAATATACGCAATGTTCATTAATGTATTTGATTTTTTTTTGGTTGATTTTTTTAGTTTTTGCTTTTTGTCTAAAAATAAAAAAATACAAAAGAATCAATCAAGTTTACTAAAAGTAAAAAATAAAAATAAAAAATAAAAAACTCGTTAAACTAAGTAAATAATTTCTGATAGGGAAAGGAGGGGGATTCTTCCTAGAAACCCCATGGATATAAGCCAGCGTTTGGACGGGCGGGAGTTTTATGATTCCCACAGGATCTCTGTGGGGGTTCAAATTCACTGTCTTTGGCGTCGACGGCGATCTCCTCCGGCGACGCACCGTTTCAAAAGATCCAACATTTGCTTGCCCATATGGCTGTAGAAGCGAAAATTCACTGTCTTTTCATTATCGCCGTCGACCCGCTCAGGAGGAAGCGTCAATAAAGGCGATGGATCTGCCTGCCACCAAAGATGACAGCATCGACGCCGCTGGTACGGCGGCCGAGGAGGTGCAGAAGGTTCTTTTGTCATAACGGTACAGACAAAAGAGAAGAAGAAAAAAGCTTGAAGTAGTCCTCTCAAATCCCCACACAATTACCACCAATGGCACGCCTCATCCGGTCGGCCGCCGTCTTCTAAACCAAACCTACCCGCAGAAAAGAAGCCATTACTAACAACCCTCTCGCGCGCTTTTTTTATAACATAAAATGACAACAATGCCTACTGCTAAATCGTATAGTAGTAGTAATGTTTTATTCCATGAACACCCTCAAGACAGCGTCAATCTCTGATTCCTCCCCCCCAGACCCCCACGAGCACCGCCGTCGGAGTATCCGGTTTGACTATCAGGGCATCTGCTCCGAACCATGACTCGAACCACCTTGCATGGGTGAAGCGAACCACCGAAGCAGCGCTTCCAAGTCGTACCTCTGAGGCGACCTTGGGGCCATGTGGGGTTCATATACCAATGTTCAAAGGCTACGAAAGGCTATGGCCCAAGCTCAAATCAGGGCCGACAATGGTGCAGAACTAATGCAGAAATGTAAGTCAACGGGCTGAAGAAAACCCTTCTTTCCTGTACAATATTGAGATTAATTAATTATCACTTGGTTCTCTTCTCTTAATCTGAGCAAATCAGCTTATAATAAAAAATATTTCAGAACCCATTGTTTGCACTTGACTAATGATCGTGTATTCTAAATTTTGAATTTTTTTTTCTTCTGTTAACAGGATTGACTCATTCCTTGCATAGATGAACTTTGTTTTGCTGTTCCGAGACAATTTTTTTTTATTCATAATTTCTACTTATATAAGAGAAGTGTTCCATCATTAGACTATAGAAACAAAACTTGTCTTTTAGTCATATTCATGAAGAACATCCCCTTATCCACTAAAACTTAGTCCCCATCATGCCTTGGCTCATCATATGTTCATATGGAGATCCCACATGCTATGGTAACTCCCTTACCCTGTGCTGAGAAATTAGCCTTTCTTTTCCAGGCTGGATCATTAAGTGGCACATGTCTTTCAAAGAAGACGGGTTGATCAGATTATTATATCATCATTATAGCTTGTTGGGTATGCATTGATGAATTGGGTTTTAGAAAAATCTGGTAAACCCTGCCTTGTTTCCTTGCTTTGTAGGGTTTAGGGGTAAACCAAAATTTAAGGATGACTTTTCTATTGCCTTTTAGAAAAGGGAAAACAAAGGCAATAAAGGTTAAAAGAAAGATGGAATGAAAGACAACTCTCTTTTCTTATCTTTCTCTTTATGAGCCATGGCATTGATCCTTAGACCAAAAGGTGCATTTGTTGGGTGTTTTCAGATATACTTTTGATCATTTGCATATTCATAGGCCTTTGAGAAAATAACTTTTTTTTAATTAAACATCTTCTTAAAGAAGTGAAATTTAAAAATAATTACGTATTTTTATGCTTATTTTCAATCATAATATGACATTTTAAAGATAAAATGTATGCTATATGATTTGTTTTTTAAATTATTCTATACACTGATAATAAAATTTATAAACGAGTTCATATGTTGCATGTTCATTAGGGTTATAATTCAAAATTAATAATAAATTATTGATATAATTACCAGATATATGTGATAGTTTTATAAACACACTTGTAAAATTTTAAATTTTATCATCGATATATAAATTAATAATCTATTTTTATTTCACATCTTTATTTGAGTTAAATAAGAATTTTAAATATATACGAACAATATTTTTGAAAAATATTTTAAAATTATATTATATATATATATATTGTGTACTTGTGTGTTTGTTTGTTTGCTATGAGACCTTTTTTTTCTTTTTCTTTTACAATGTAAAAATAAATAATACTTCTAGAAATTTAGAAGATAAACGTTAAGGGACCTTTTGGTAATAGAAAAATAAATTATTTTTAAAAAAAATTAATTGATGAAAAAGATATGCTACGTTCTTGGGAAGGCAGCTTTAGATGTACATCACATGTTTGGTATACTACATTCATGAGAAAGTAGCTTTCCCATGAGTACCACATTGCCACAAATTTTGGGTAATGCCATTCCCATATAGAGACAGTGAGGTGACTTTTCTAGGTTGAGAGAAGATAAAAATAATTTTTTATTTATTTAATTTTTTTAATATGTTTTAAAAGATTAAAATATTAATATAAGAATACAAATTTTATAATTTTTATAAATAAAATTATAATCAAATGGACGAACTAGACATAGCTCAAACTTGACAACCTAAAAAAGAAAAGCCTGATAAATAAAAATTAAAATTAACTAGGTCAAGAAAGATCAAACTCATAATTTCTCATCATCTATGACAGAGGTGGAAGGAGTTTCCTAAAGTTTTTAAATTTTATAATTTTTCCTTTTTTTTAATTTTATAATTTTACTTTTATAATATTGAAAATATTATTTTCATCTCTACAAATTTGAAATCTTGATTTTGTTACTGATCGACTTAATTTAATTTCTTAACCAAGAACAAGAAAAAAAAAATTTGTGGGCATTAACCCTTAGCAAAAAAATGACAATTATATATTTATGTTCTTATTAAAGGAAAGTGCAATCCCTGACTCGCTAACATGTTATTAGGTAATTTGACTAAATTGAAAAAATTATTTGCCTAGCTCCCTTCTGGCCACACCTATACTTATTAAATGATTATATATCATGATAATTTACTTTCGAGATTTAATGTTTTTAAATCTTTTTTAACTAACATTGTTTTTTATTTACTAGTTGATGTTCTAAGAGTTACTTTGATCTAAAATAATGTAATAAGTTATTTTATTTTCATTATATATATATAAAAAAAAATTATTTGTCACGATATAAATAGTTAAACAATATTACAAATTTATCTTTTTGGATATGGGTGGGATTGGAATAGGATGGATGAATGGATGATATTAAGTCTACACCCATTATATTCCATGTTTGCCCAAAAACAGGTTATATGTTGCCTACCCATCAATTCAGCCCTAAAATAATAAATAAAGGGTTGGTCATGTGAAGGGATATTCCTAAAAGCCAATGTCTCAATTCTTTGTTGGAAGAATTTTTATTGGGACTATCGCTTTAGAGTTTTTTTATAAAGGTATTTTTTTAGATTTTATTTCTTAAAAAAAAATTTAAAATTTTGTTTAACTCGATTTATACTTTTAAGATATAAATAAACTGAAAAAAAAATCGAATCAAACAGATATTTAACCTCATTTGCCCTTCAACCTCTCAATTAGGAAAGATGAAATCCATTTTTTTTATCAAATTCTCACTTATTTGGTAAGATATATGTATATATATAAATAGACAAATAGATAAATGTTGAAAAAAATTAATGAAAAAAACCCAACCAAATATTGAGTTGAATGGGTGTGGCAAGCTTGTGTCTCTTTTGTGAACAAATTTGGTAACATCACAAACCATATAAAAAGATACACCCAACTTGCACTAACTTTACTATAAACTTTCATTGTCACCTTTTGAAAGTTTGATGGGTCTTTTCCATGTATTCATGCAAATAATAAATTAAATCTTTTAATTAATTGACTACTAATAATGATTTGGGTCCCAAATTAAGATTGTAGTTAACAACATTAAGGATTCTTGGATCTCCCTTGCATATTTGAGAAAGTTTATTGGGTTTTGACTTACCATTTCCAATGTTGTGAACACATAAAACTTCATTTTAAATTTTGGATTATAATTTTTTTTTAATTTTAAACGATGGCTAAATATTGTTGCCTTTTTAAAACGAATATTTATCTTAAAAATCAATTAAGAATAAAGAGACCACAGAAGAATCAACAGACCCATGAAAGATATATATTTTAGATTAATGAAAAATGTGAATTCATATATACTTATATACATGTTGCATCTTATTATTTTGTCTAGCTTAATAATTAACACGGCGAAAAGGGTTTTATGTTAATAATATTTTTCGAAAGATATATATGGCCGAAAGATTAAAGTTGACATGCATGGACAAAATAAACAATGGCCACAACCTAGGGAAGAAGAAAAGAAGGTAGAAAGAGAAAAGCAAGAATGGATAGAGATGAGGTAGCTGTTAAGAGGATTCCCAGGAGGAGGAAAAGGATAAGGAATCCTTTTTGTGAATTGAATGAACAAAGAAAGGGAGAGGGGGAAGTAGGGTAAACGAGAAGAGAGGAAAAAAAGGAAGAAAGAAAAACGTTTAAAGACCACAAAGAAGGCATGAGATGCAAAGATGAAAGGAGGAAAAGGATAACATTTGAAAACAAAAATAAAAAACAAAGGCAAAGTCACAGCATTACAGGTCTTATTCCTTCCACACTGTTAAGCCTTTTACTGGGGACATGGGAATCAATGTAGGGTGGATAGGAGTAATTACATGCCACCCAAAAATACCAACAAAAATGGAAGCTACTAGAAGTAAAAAAAAAATAATTAAAAAGACATAAAAGGATTTTTTTTTATATATAATTTTGAGTATAATTTTTATATCACTTAAGAAAAAAATTATAAATTAAATTGAGTATTGTTTGATATAGTTTTGGAATAACATGCTTAGAAATGTAAAATTATATTCTTTTCAATTTTTTTTGGTTGAAAATAGGAGAAATATGTAGAATAATGATAAATCAAATAATAATAATTGACTCACTTTCTTTTTGGTATTTCATCATAAACTTTGTCATATAAAAAAAGTATATGTATATGTTGTACTCTCTCTCTCTCTCTCTCTATATATATATATATATATATGTATATAAAATATTATTATTTTGTAATTGAGAGGAAGTTTCTACATATGGAGTGAAGAAGGAAAAGTTATGTGTATGTATTCACTAATTAAATTGTTATTATATACATAGATATCTATAGTTATATACACACAGACTTTCTCTACTCTCTCACATTACTTTTGTTATTTGTTTATTTATTTATAAAAGGTAATTTTTCAACTAGTATTAAATAATTATGTAATTAGATTCATTTTCATTAAATTAAGTTTTTAGAAATTAAATTATAATATGAATATATTAGTATCAACGATCAAATAAAAAAATCTTGTATAATTCACATCAAACATATTTCACTTTTTGAAATTGTTTATTCTTTTAACAAGATTTTTGTTTAATAAAAATTTCAATTACAACGCTTCTAATTCTTTTAATTGAAGCATCTCTGGATTTACTAATTCTTATATAAAGAGCTTTTTAAAAATAGTTATAAAACAAGCGTGGATACACACACACATATATATATATATATATATATTATGAATTTCACAAACTAATAATGTCAAGTACCAATTTAGTTTTTATTTAGTTGTTTTGGTCCAATAGTAATGCTATTTTTCTATAGTTTTAAATATATTTAAAGATAAAATACTTTGATCTCTTTAAATTTTAATCAAAATTACATAAAAGTTTATTAATTTTTAAAATAAACATTCCAATCAAATAAAAAAAAATTCGTTATACACGTAAGTTTAACCGTTTGTATTTTCATCTTGTTGGCATGGTAAGGATATAAAAATAATTTTATTTTTGATTAATTTTTATTATTACAATAATATAATTTTATTTTTTTATTAATTAAGAAAAAAAACTCTCCATTAAGGAGCTCCAATCGAGGCTTCCTTGTTCTCCCGTGCTTTGGGGAGCACCGATTTGGTGCTTCCCTCCCTTGGGAGCACTGACCAATGCTCCCTTTTCTTGAGGATCGATGCTCTCTATTTTTTTAATTTTTTTAAATATAATAATAATTTTTTAAATTAATAAAAAATATTTTAATTTTTTTGTTATTTCTGTGTTTATAATCTTAAGATGAAAGGTTTATTTCAAAAATTAATAAATTTTTATGTAATTTCAATTAAAATTTAAAAAAGTCATGTATTTTACCTTATATTTAAAAATTTATTTCAATGGTTAATGTGTGTGTATATACATATATATATATTTATATATATCAAAGGGTCAGGTTCAAATATAAAAAAAAAAAGTTCAACACTTTTTTCAAATAAAAAGAAATATAATTTAAAATTATTTTTATAATATAAGATTTTTTTTGTTAATATAGTAAATTCAAGAACACTGAAAAGGGGATCAATGGCGGATTCAGTATTTTAAGTTTTGATATAATCAATTGAAGATGTGATCAAACCCTCCTAACATTATTTTCTACTTTTATAAATATCTCTTCACCATCAAAAATCATTTTTTATTAATTATACATGCCATCATACCAACAATAATAGATTAGATCGCAATTTCTTATTAATGTGTCAAGTAAGTGCTAATGTGCTAATAAAAGTTAAGATTAATCAAAATTAATTGTACAAATTAAAGTTACAATTACAATAAAATCACTTCAAGGTATATTATATAACTTGTATGTTTGCCCTTCTTAAGATTGTAATTATTTCAATATTAACCTTTGAAAATTTATGGTTGGTTAGGCATCCCAAACTATATATTGTTTTTTGATATTTGAACATTTATAATATGTTAGGCAATGTCCCCGAACGAGTATCATATCGATTAAGAATTTAAAATTTTAATTTAAAAATTTGAAAACTTAAAATAATGAATAATATTATAAAAAAAGTAGGTTAGACAAATAGAGCTATCAATATTGGCTTTGGTCATGCAATTAATTTTGGTATACGAATTATGATAGTTCAAATGTCACCTAAGATTTTTAGTTTTAATTTCAATATTATCTTTGACAATTAGATATTGGTTTACATACATTTATATTATCAAAACAATGTATTAATGTAAATAGATAATAATTTAGATTTGATTGGGTAATTGTTAATTTTTTTTACATGGTTGAGATTTAAAGTTTGAACTCATTCTTTTTTAATGAACCTCCAGAAAAAAAGATAATAAAATTATTTATTATTTGTTATTAGATATAAACTTGCATATGAATATAGAAGAAAAAGATACTGCAAGTTGAATAAACTTAATTTGGCTCAATGAAAAATTATTTATTATTTTATTATTTTATCCTTACTCAATAATATTATTTATTTATTTATTTATTTCATATTTTTAATAAAAAATTATTTAACTTTCTTAGTTGCATCACCCAAAGAAAATACCGAACCGAACTCTGATCCGCAATGCATAAAGGACGAGCCGAGCCAAGTGATGGAAGATATTTTCTTGCTGACATGGCAAAACCCTTGGACTTGTACATGTAAAACCCAAATACCATTAAGGGTAATTCTGTCATTTAACCAAACCCCCACCACATGGGCGAAATTCGGTCTCGTTGGCTGCAAACCAGCCGATGGCTTCACTGTGGTCACCCCGACAACGACATCTTCCACCTTTTGATAAAAGAAAATAAAAAAATTTTTACCTTCCCGAATCCCCTAAGCATCTTTAACTGATCACACAACGCGCCACGTGTCCCCTAACACGATCTAGTGCATCGCCTTAGATCCACCACAAAACGGTTCACCTCCCAACTTTAGATCTCCCCTCCGCGTCATGGCCCTCAGTCCCACGTGGATCAATGACGTGGCGTAACTTCGAGCTACCCTTACGCCATGTCATCGACACGTCAGCTCGCATAATATCTTTTATTCGACGTATCTTTCTTTTCCCTGCACCTTTGGCCTCGCCGTTTCTCGACCAGTTAAGCCAGTTTCTCTTACAAAATCTTCTTTTAAGTTGGTTGTCTTCTTCGTCATTTTTAATATTTATTTTTGATAGAACCCTGAATCTTTTTTTTTTTTGGCTTTGAGTAATCGGCAAGCTTTCGAGTATTTCATTTTTTTTTCCTGAAATTTTCATGTCTCGAAGTTTTTGAAATTTTTGACCGTTGGGGGAATGGGATGAAGATCGACTGGAAACGAGTTTCAAAAGGTAAATAATCATAGCTCTGTTTTGTTTTATTTTTTTACCAATTTTTTAAAAGAATTTTCACTCGTTGTTTCAACTCTCTACGTTTTTGCTACTGGAAAACTCGTTTGTTTTATTTATATTTCTTTATTTGAAACTCGGGATTTTGAAATTCGAAGGTTGGTCTCCGTTGTAACTGTTTATATGAGCTCAGAATCAGACTGTTTGTTTTTCCATAAATTTCTTCTTATTTTCTTTTTTTTTTCCATTGGAAAATGTTCAAGCGTTTATTTAAACAAAAGTGTGATTCGATTCGTCGAAACGATTGAACTCGGCTTACTTTCGGATGTTTCAGCAACATCTTTTCTCTTTTCTTTCATTTTTTCATTCAATTTCATTTATCCTTTTCTTCTTTGTTCTTGTTCTAGTAGAAATTTGATGCTGTGTTCAACTTTACAGCTGTAAAATCTGAGAAATTCTTGCTTCCCTTGCGGTACGCTTGGACTGTAAGAAATTTGGGAAGAAAACCGCGAAAAATCAAATTTCGAAGTCTTTCTTCTTTGAATTTTATATTTGTTACTTGAAGTCTGTTTTTAGTTGACGACTTGAATTCACAGTATTAAGTTCTTTGAATTGCGTTCAAAACTTAAATTTCTATTTCATCTTCTTTATCTGCGTATAATTTCAATTTATGACTATTTCTTTAATCAAATGCTTAATTTAGGTGTTTGAGTGATTAAATTTTTAATTTGGTATGTGTCAGAAACATGAAAGTTTTGTTCATATTCTTTTTTTTGTAATTTATTTTGTTGACATTTCTCATTGACAAATTTGTTTATGGTTCATGAAAGGTCAATTATTTTTTCTTGCACTTTTTACTTTAGTTATCTGAAATTAAAAATAGAAATTTGTATGCCATGAAAATAGAAATGGTAGTATTAGCTAGCTTAAGTGTCCTTCTTATTGAATTTAAGACTTTGTTATGTGTTATTCAAAACATGATCTTACATATGAATACGTATTGTCATGTGCGTACTTTGTTTTGAGTTAGATAAATCTGAGTTTTGTGGGGTTATGTATATTTGACAGTAATAGGATGAGAGGAATTATTATGTGCAAGATTTTGTATGATTGTTATATTTCCACACTTCTAATATGAAAATCTTATATATGTTTTCTGCCATAGGGCTTGTTGAAGGTTTGTGCTTGTAGACGTTTGTATCTTGAAGACAACAGGATGCGCAAGCTCTTTTGCGCAGTAGAGGAACCAACTCAATCTGGTGCCTTCCTTATTATTGGTCTTTTTTAATCTGCTTGATGGGGATAGTTCAAATGAATAATAACAGTCCTGTGGCCAATGGGTTGGTTGAATTGAATACACATATTCATGATGAGCACAAGAAAATAAGGGGTAGGGTCATGGGTGAGGAGCAGAGCCTCTCAGTGGAAGACGAGTCATGGATTAATGAGGATGCGGAAGACAGGAATGATGGGAAGACAGAGTTGGTTCAAGTTCAGGTCCCTGTGCAGGGCGTGCAACAGACGTCACAGCAACAGCCTCAAGGTCCTTTGGTTCGCTGGGAGAGGTTTTTACCTCTAAGGTCTTTGAAGGTTCTACTGGTGGAAAACGATGACTCAACTCGCCATGTTGTCTGTGCATTGCTGCGAAATTGTGGATTTGAAGGTCAGTTAATTTTTATTGATACGAAAATTTCTAGTTTTGCAATCTGAAATTAAAATATTGTACATTCGTACACCAAGAAAACTGAAATAGCAGCATAAGCTACCTAAAGACAGGACTATCTTAGAATCTTATTTGCGTTAAAGGTTGTTGACCCCATGTAGTGGGAAAAGGCTTAACTTATAGTGTGGTTATTTGCATAAAGGTGACTTATGGTGGACAGGCTTCTTTTTTATTGTGAATAACTTTCTCTTTATTAACAGTTTCTATTAGCTTGCGAGCTTTATCTGGTGATATAAATATGGAATGTCTTCTTGGTTTTGCTCTTTTATGTTGAATGGTTTTGGATACAAGTGTCTCTGATGTGCATATATCTAATCTATTATTAGCCTAAGTATTATCCAAAATTAATATGTGGTATGTTCGGTATCTTCTTCTTAACTTGAATTTAGGCTTATTGCCCTTCTTTTGTTAATGATTGCTTAACATAGTAATTTGATGATATATCTCACATTGATATTTGTGACATTTGTTTGAAACACTTTTCTGAATCATTCTTGAATTTACCTTGTGTTGAGCTGAAGCAGGGTGGAATGATATTTGTGGGGGCATCAATGGTTCCATGTTTCTGCTTCTGTTGTACATGCTTTTTTCGCTTAGCAGTGCACTGAAAATGGGATAGGTTCTCTGAAAACATTTTATTCTGAAGGTGCATTCTTTCAAAAGGTTTGAAATCTTTTTCAAGTTTGTTAAAAAGGGTCCACTATGATACATTAAGTTCTCTATGGATCCAGACATTTAAGTTCTGTCATTTTAAGGCTTCTTTAACATACATTATGGATGGCTTATTTCAGTTAATAGAGTACACAGTCCTTGGACTGTTGGAAAACACTATCTCAAAACAGAATTTTGTCTTAGAGGCTTGTGCCATGGTTTTTTACATTAATATTTGTGTCAAATATCAATTGTTAATGATGGTGTGGCATTGAGTCAATAAAAGCAGTGTGAACCCAATGCAATCCAAGTCTTAATATTTGATATTTTGCTTAGTTTGGAAATCTCTCTCTCTCTCTCTCTCTCTTCTTTTATTATTGGAAATTGGCATGGCAATATTAACTTTTGGGTATTTACCTTATTGTTTCCTTTTCTTCGTTTTTTTATTAATTCTTTTATTTTTTTGTTTTGATGGTTGTCATTTTATTCCTATTATCATCTCACAGCTTGTGATTATCCTTTTATTCTCATTATCATCTTATAGGTTGTGATTTTTTTATACTCTCAGTATCATTGCACAGGTTGTTATTAATTCTTTGTGATATTGTTTTTATTTACCCAAATAATATTCTTTATCTTACCGCTAGGTACCATGAATATTCTATAGTTTCTTGGTTGGTAAGATCTGCTGATGTTTGGGAGAAAGTTTCTGATTGAGTTCATTAACATGCATGTGTTCTGGTGATGATTACTTACACATACTATTTGACTTCGTGTAGCTATTGGATTGTGGGTTTAAATATTATATTCTTGTGATTTAATTGATGCAGTCATGCAAGAAGTCTTAGAGGAAGAAGCTAGTATAATTTCAATTGTGTAATCATTTGATTTAAGATTGTATGTAATTTTTATTTCATATGCTTTAGATTTTTGGACTAATTATGCTAGTTCACTTAGGTTAATTACGGTTACATTTGAAATTCCATTTATTAGGAGTAGGGTTTCACAGGTTTCCATTATCCATAATTCTTTTTGTATGAAGAGTCTTGAGGAAGAATATCAATTATTTTCAATTTTGGAATTCTGATCTTGATTTAAAATTTATATAACTTGGATTTAATTTAGGTTTTAGAATTATTTATGTTATATAGAAGTTAGAGGTTGATTGTGCTATACATTTTTTTTTTTTGGTTTTCATTAACTAAGGTTATTTATTATATTTCCTTTTGCATTGACAGTCCTATGTTTAGGCAAGAGTGGGGCATCACCCCTGTTTAGTAAAATTTTGCTTAGTAACCTCTTATGATCCAGGAAATTTCATATAAATTTAATAAGTGGATCACACTATACTTTTAGAGATTTCAATTTAAATTCTAAATCAATAATATACCTTTTTAAAATAAAACAACTCAAAATTTTATTTTATACTTTCTTCTTTTCTTTCATTTTTTCCTCATAATGCAGTTTCTAATACAATAAAGGGCTTTATAAACGTCTGAGTTTGATTAAGATGCACTGTAAGTAATGAATTTGATTTTTTTTTTGTTTATCCTCTGAATATCATGAATTAATGAATTTAGTTGAGGTGATTGAAATTTTTTTCTCTATTCATTTGTTTCACTACACGACAGTCTGGTTTCACCTCTAATTGTTTGGTGGAGATTTTATTGAAGGAAAAAGTCTTATTTTTGCATTTTCATCATTGTGACTTTTGGTGTTTTTTTTTTTTTTTTGAAAGATGGTTTTTATTAATGATGAGCTGGAATGCCGTGACTTTTGGTGTTGGAAGAAAATAAATAAGACTAGTACCAATTTTAGTTATCTCTTAAAAGGATTTGGGAAGAGTTTTGAATTTTGGCCTTAAATTTGGAGTAAATAACCAAAAATTCACCCAAATATTATTTTAAAATTTATGTGTCTGCCTCCACTAGGCAATCTGTATTAGATATTACCTAGATCTCATATGAATATCTTGCATAGTATAATAGCACTGTGATTCTTAAATGTTTTTGTAGCTGTGTGCTAGAAGATTGTAATACTCGTTGGGAAATTTGTCTGCGAGTCTAATCACTTAGAGGGGTATGGTCATAAAATTTCAAACCTGGTAGATGGGCCTAGACCATTAGTGCTAGAAATTAGTCCTGCCAAATTAGTACTAACTGATGGGACTGTTTTGAGGCTAATTAAGTTTTTATTTATTTTTCATTTACAGCTCTGTCACATCTTTAACTATCTGTCAGTTGCATTTTACTGAAAAGTTGTAATAATAAGAAATTTTATTTGTTAGAATGGGTTGGTTGAGAATTCAACCTACGTTAATGTTGGTTGCATACAAGTGACACTGGTGGCCCTTAAGATTTTTCAAGTTCCAAAGTCATGGAGAATTGAGAAATAGGTGTTGTAGCTTGAGAAGGACTTGGTGAAGAAACATACTAGGTGTTGAAAATAAGGTTTGTAAGCCTGATTTGAATCTGATCTTTGTAATTGGAATTATGTGGCTTTGCATTGCTAGAAGAAAGAGAAAGGGTAAAATAAATAAATAATCAAGTTATAACCTAATGAGTTTTAAAAACAAAAATCCTGGCAATTTTGACTTGGCCAAGACTTCAGCTGCTGGTATCAATCACATTGTACCTTAATATCTTTGCACTTAATACTAGTTTGAAATACTTTATCATCTTCACAATCTTCTTCTTCTTCAACAGCATTTTAGATCAGAGAAAGTACAGGTCCAAGTACTAAACAAGGTAGCTTATTTTTTGACATTTCATCATATGACTTCTTCTTTTCAGCTTTTCCCCTCACAAATAAATTCTTCATTTTCTTGCTTGATAGAGCCCTTATGTGTATTTCTAAGAAAGCTACCTAGGGTATTAGGAGCCTTGGAAGTAGGGAATTGGTTCTTCAGCCTTGAAATTTGAAATATAGTTTTGTTACATCTTTGAAGAACTTAATGAATGGGTAGGTTATTTAGCTGCAAAATTACTAAACATTCCAACTAATGTTTATTAATTAAACTTTCGGAAAATTTTTTCTTTCTTGTGGAATTTGCTCCACTTTGGCTAGATGGTCTGTTGTTGCAAGTCTTCTTCAATTTCTTATGCAATTTATATTTCTGTGGCCACAATATTCAATTGACAAGTAGGAGACTGCAATCAGTTTCTGTTAATCCTTTTCTTTGCATAACAGTTATGATAACTTTTGTCCATAAGGTTATGGATAAAGAAATTAGAGAACCAATTGTGTTATTCCTCTCCAACAGATGACTCTGCCTGAATCAAATCATTCTTTGTTATTTTGAAAAAAAATTGGTTTATTGGTTGTTTCATCTACTCCGTATCTTCCCTTTCCAAAACCCATTTCATCTTATGTAATTCTTGTTGCTTGATTTATCATATCCTTACCATCCTTTGACCTTGGGCTTGTGTCTTTGTTGAAATTCATACACACCAACATGATGAAGGTAACTTTCCAAAATATTTATGTTCTTGTCAAATGTTTCTGTTTTAATATCTCCTTAATTAGGTTCATTTAGTTTAGCACCTTCAGTAAGTTCTTTAGGTATGGTAGGGCAACAAGGTTGTATTTGTTTCAAAAACTAATATCTAAAGTTAAGAGGGTGAAAATGCTGGAAAATTATGTGGCGATTTGAGATTAATATTAGATAAAATAGACGAAGATTTTATAATCTGTTTGAGGGCTTCATAATACTCATTTAAGGCATGTAAAATTTGATGTCATTTTGGTGTGCATTTGTTAGGATTTGAAAAGTTCTTTTCCAAGCTTAAAGTGAATATGAAAAGGTTTCAGGGTTAAAATAGTGCTTAAGGTACTAGGATACAAAGAAGGTCTAGTCTTCACAGAAAGATTTCCGTTGGAATGCCACCTAAGGTCCACAGGCTTCAAACCTTGGTTAGGGTGACACAATCGCAAAAGAAAGCATAATAAGCTGCCAGAAATTTCATGGACTTCTTATATTAATTGGGAGCCCTTACAGGCGTTGGATATAGACTTTATGGCAATCCTAATAATCTTACAAGAACTTGTTGTCAGAGGTAGGGAACCATAAAGGATAATTTTAAAGAATATCTACACAATAGATAAGTCCCAACAAGAGGATAGAATCAAAACAAAGGGCTTTACTTTTCACAGAATGGAAGTACTTTATTCTTTATTAAACAAGAGGGGCTTGTAAACTAAAAGAATAAAATGAAGTTGAAATTTGAAATATGCCACGTGATCATGAGATTTTGGTTTCATAACGGAGGCTTATAAACTAAACGGAATGAAGTGAGGCTATAGAAAAAAATTAAATGATGTCAATCTGTTCACTGGAAAATTTTATTTTGGTTTGGTGCTTGATATATAGCTCATAGATACTTTATCAAGGTCCTTTCTCTATTTTTTTAACTGATGGTCCTGTGCAAAGTGATATAATGTCTCATTGAGGGTTGTGACTGTTCATTGAGTTTGTTGTTAACTGTATTGCATTTTTTTTCAACATGAGTAGCTTTCTTGGTTGATATGTATATGATTACTTTAGATAGAAATATGTTGTATACAACTTTTATGCATGTCAAGTTTTCCCTTAACATTTTTTCTGTAACCTATGACCCTAATGTCCTTTTTTTTTTGTTTCAATCTTGGCAGTTACTGCTGTGTCAAATGGACTGCAAGCTTGGAAGATCTTGGAAGATCTAACCAATCATATTGATCTTGTTTTAACTGAGGTAGTGATGCCTTGTTTGTCAGGCATTGGCCTTTTATGCAAGATAATGTGCCACAAAACTCGCAAGAATATTCCAGTGATTAGTGAGTATATTTCTTTTATTTATTTTCCCCTTTTTATAATAATGCAATTTTGTACCTATATTCTTAACAAATTGATACTTTTAACTGCTACACCTTGGTGAGTTTTGTGTGCAGTGATGTCATCTCATGATTCTATGAGTATAGTCTTCAGGTGTTTGTCCAAGGGTGCAGTTGACTTTTTAGTGAAGCCTATACGAAAGAATGAGCTTAAAAATCTTTGGCAGCATGTTTGGAGGAAATGCCACAGCGTGAGTTGCTATAGTTATCCCACTTTATGTATGAAACTATATGGACCAATTATGGATTCTGAAGTTCAGGTCTGTCCTTATATATGCTTTTTTCCTGACAATTGTTGAGCTATTGGGACGAAAAACAAGTCATTCACTTTGCCAAGTTTCCACCATTAAAATTTTAGAATCTTTATATAAAAATTTTGCTTTCATATGTTCATTGTTTTTACCAGTTTCTTGACATAAGACAGCAGAAAAGTGCAAACTTTTTCTCCTCTGTTTTGCATTTACTATTCATCCTTTCATCAGTCTAGTGGTAGTGGAAGCCAAAGTGGTATACAGACCCAAAAATCCTCAAAATCAAAAGGTACTGATTCAGACAACAATACTGGAAGAGATAAGGACGATGACAATGGCAGTGTCGGTTTGAATGTTCAGGATGGCAGTGACAATGGAAGTGGCACTCAGGTGAAGTTATACTTCATTATAGACTCATTTTTATTCTTGTGATTTTTATCAGTCTGATATAGATTGAAACTATGCTTTTATATTACTTGGCTGTCCAATATTTGATTGATTTGTTATTCCTTTATGCTTCACATTGCTTGTGGTATTATGTGTTTTCTCTGATCATTATAATAATTAGTATCAAAGTATAAAGACTGGCTTATTCTTCTATTTTAGGCATTGAAATAATTATTAGGAAATTTCACAATTAATTGTCAAATATAAGAATTGATTTGATTTAACAATAGGTTTTATAACAATCACATAGAGTTTTCTCAGCCTTACATATAAGCTTCTGAAAATATTATTTTCTGTTGAGTACACCTACGCCCCTGTTACATAGAGCTCTCAAAACAAAGCAAAGGGAAGGTGATACATGTGTTACCACATCTTGTTAAGCTGGTTATGTTCACTAATGCACACTCTAAGCAATTGTAAAATCAACCTAGTTTTAGGACATATTGATGTGGCACTTTCAAATCTGATTCAGTATCTCAACTGTCTTATTTCACTTCCTCTAAAACAAAATATCATGCTAATGTCCTTGGCAGTTTCATTTGAAGGAATGGATCTTTGGGGTGACCTTGTCAGTATGATTGGGCATAGTGTATAATGGTAGGAAAAACACTTGCATTATTTTTGGACAGATGAAATGTGAATTACTTCAGCATGTATGACATAAGAAGGCAGAGTGATCCCTAAAGCAAATTTCTTTTATATGCTTAAGGCAGATTTCTTTATTGGTAGCTCAAGCAAATATTGTAGTGTCTTGCTCCTTTAATTCTTAGAACCACTGCCAAGTGAAGTTACAATCCATTTAGTGGCTAAACTTTTTGGTGTATCTCCAATCACATCGATATCAATGTTGGTACTAGTATGCAACTTATTGAAAGACTATTATTGACAATTGAGCAAGGAATTGAAACACTAAGATAATAGAGTTACTTACAAGCTTATCAGAAAAAATAGAGTTACTTACAAAGAAAAAAACTCTAATTAAAAAAAGCCTTGTCTGTGGAAGTATGAGCTGATGCATTTTCCAAATTAGCTTACTTCAAAGAAAGACAGTTTTTGGCATATATCCTCTGATAGTTGGTTATAAGCAAAATAACAATCAAGTCATGTTTGCCTCTACTTCGATTGATAGAGTGGTAAGACTGGAAGTGTTACTCTTAGGTAGATTAAAACAGCAGGTACTTCCATAGTCAAATATAGTGTGATTTTGGAAAGAGCTGCTTTTCTAGGTTTATGTGTTCTCATCGAAAGAGTTTTTTGTTATAATATGAGAATGTGAAAGCTTAGACTTTTCACAATTAGCTTTTCTTTAATAGCAATTTATTGGCATTTTCTTTTCCTCAAAGAATTAAGGAGGTAGAAGAAGCTTCAACTGAGGGAAGAAAGGTTTTTTTTCTTTTCTTTTTTTTATAAAAAAAGAAAAGAAAAGAAAAGAGGAGTACGCTCCATAATTGATCGAAACGTTGTAGCCTCCTTCCAAGCAACTCTTAGACTCTTAAAGTCTCTCTCTAAAGTCAACTGACAACCATTACTCAAAAATTGGCACCCACCAGTGCGATGCTTACTTGAAACTCAAGCATCTTTTTATTACAACCAACTGTCAGCATGTTGGAATGATTGAGAGGATTACCAGATGTGGTAGGCTAGCTTTTCAAGTGAATGAATCTACCCACCCCCTACTTGTTTGGTTCTATAACTGATACAGGCTGGTAGCTAATAAACACCAATGATGAGACATTATGATAGGGTATAGTGCCATCAGTTTTTCTTGAAATTGATATATATCAACCAAAACTAGTATTTAACTTTAATTTAATTGATTGTTTGACCATGACATACTTTTTCCAAGAACCGTCCATTTTTACATGCTTATAAGATCTTGAACTGCACATTTCTTCATGCTTTCTCTTATCGATACCAATTTCAACTTTTCAAATTGTTTTGATTTACTACTTTTGCCTAGGTGAACTGATCTCATAGTGAGCTAAACTTGAGGGTGGAATGTCTAAGTATATTAGCACTTCAAATCATTTCTTTTGTGCATTAAACTATTAAATGATCAGTAAAGCTATTAAATTTTTCTAGCATTTTCAATATTTATTTCCCGAGGTGCATTAAACTGTTCTTACATCTTTAGGCCACAACACTTTAGTGCCTATTATGCTAGGTACTCCTCCCATATTGCCATTAGCATCCAAAAGAACTTCAGCTATATAAGCTTTGTAGTAAGTTAAACAAGTTACGTTGATGTCACTGCACTTCATGACACTTCTTCATCAAATATAGCTTGCTATCTTTTTGAGTTGTTCTTTAGATGAAGCTTCTTAACCAGTATGATAACTCTGAAATCTGGAGAAGTAGTCCTAGCCATCATAATTTGGCGTACCGTTGCACCCACATTGTACCTGGTTTGAATTTTTTGTGCCTTTAGCCATATGAATTCTTGTGTCTATGGATGAGCCAAATTTATTATCCTTGGGCCAAATCTTTTTACTCTTCTTCAACCTGTTTCTTGATTGGGCTTGAAATTATAAATAGGCTCAAGTTTGTTGAAATCATCACAACAGTAACCTTTTGGCATATCTTTGGCCCTTCACTAACTGAAGTTTCTTTTTTGCATGTTGGTCATTTTAAACTATCTCATGCTTGCACAAATTTTCCTTATCCATGTTCATTTCGTCAATGGTGAAGCCAAAAAAAGTGGGGAAATTAAAAAATGTATCTAATTATTATTGCAGAATTAAGACCTTGGAAGAAATTTTGGAGGGGATATTTCCAAGAATATCCCAAAAATATGGGTATAATAGGATTTGAGAAACCAAACTCTAATGTAGCTTCTCCCCTGCAAACTTAGGATTTTTAGTGGTCATATTTCTGCTTCTCTATTAGTGCTAGCTTGAAAAGCTTTCCTTTTCATTTGTTCTTCCACCTTAAGTTTAATTAAAGGCAAATTCTATTATCAATATTGCCTGCAATGCTGATAATCCAAGCTGCACTCTCCAGCCCATGTTCTTGCTTCGGAACTAGTCTAGACAGATATGGATGACATCCTAAACCAAAGGGCAGATTCCCTGTCAATGCTAGTAACTTATATGCTTCAAATTTGCAAGGAGCTGCTAAAATTACACAGATTGGGATGCTGAGAAGACATGAGAACCTTTGGCGTCATGACCAAGCAGAATGAGACCCAGAAGGCTTCATATATTTAATTGCTATTCATATTTTTCTTTCGCCCGGGGCTGGGGAGTGGGAAAGGGTGTGCACTATGTAGTCAACCATAATTTGTTGTACTAAAGCTTTGTTAGAGTATAACCACATTATGCTTTAGATATGCATTTTCATGTGCATGCATAGCTAGCTAAATTGTTTCACTCTTTCTTTGAATTTGAACATGTGATTATGGCTCATGTAATGGATTAGAGTTCATCAGAATGTGTAGGTGTGTAATAATTGAAGGTAGATGACTTTTTCACTGATGCACTTAAGCACATATTTATGGGCGAAGACCTTTAACCCAGCGGTAATCTGGATGCATGAAATTCTTTCTTTGCAGAGCTCATGGACAAAGAGAGCAGTAGAAGTTGACAGCTCCCAGCCAATATCACCATGGCACCAGTTCGCTGATCCTCCTGATAGCACTTGTGCCCAGGTTGTCCATTCTAGACCGGAAGTGTTAGGTGACAGCTGGGTTCCAGTAACAGCTACGAGGGAGTATGATAAGCAGGATAATGAACTAGGTATGTGCAAAACTGTTCATAATGGACTTCTGCTGTTCGTCCGATTGTTGTTCTTGTCTTTCTCTTTAATTAAATTGTGCTGCATCTCAATGCCAGAAAATGTTGTTATGGGCAAAGACTTGGAGATAGGGGTACCTAAAATTACAGCTTTGCAGCTTGAAGACCCAAGTGAAGAGGTACTGACCAACATAGCTGGTGCTAATAAAGACAAATTATCTGCAATAAACCCTAAGAAAGATGATGAGAAACTAGAGAAAGCGCAATTGGAACTTAACAGTGAGAAATCAGGTGGTGATTTGAGAAACCAAGCTGCTGACCTGATAGGTGTCATCACCAATAATACTGAACCTCAAATAGAAAGCACAGTCTTTGACATCCCCAATGGCCTCCCTAAGGTCTCTGATACAAAGGATAAGGTGAACTACGACATGAAGGAAATGCCTTTTCTTGAGCTCAGTTTAAAGAGACTGAGAGATGTAGGAGACACTGGAACAAGTGCCCATGAACGAAATGTATTGAGACATTCAGACCTTTCAGCCTTCTCAAGGTATTTAGAACTGTGGCTTCTAATTTTTAAATATCCAATTTTAAAAATACTAATATTTGTTGTCCCCGTGCAATGTAAATACAAATTGAATATTCCTTTTAATATTTTTCAATAATAATTTTATTCATTTACCAATAGGTTTTTAAAGAATGAAATTAGAATTAAGAAAAAGAGTTTTAAGTGATTCAATGCCATTTGAGTTTTTATTTACAAATTGAATAAATCTTATTAATATTTATAATAAAAAATATTTAAAGTAGAAATTTAAAAATAAGATTACACTTTATCCCATGTTGCACTTCTGCCTACTTAATTTGAATTTCAATCCTTGTTTGATACTACTGTGTATAATTATAAATACTATTTATATAATGATTAAAAATTAGTTAAAATGGATAATGACTATTTAGAAATATAATGAGTAAAAGTATTCCTTTTTTTCAATTAAGAGGTCTTTCAATATCAACACTTTATATATATATACATATATATATGTATTGTAGATTATAGATAGTAATTTTCATTTTCATGCAGATACAATTCTGGTTCAACTGCTAATCAGGCTTCAACAGGAAATGTTGGTAGTTGTTCTCCACTTGATAATAGCTCGGAGGCAGCTAAAACAGATTCTATGAAGAATTTTCAGTCTACCTCAAATAGCATGCCTCCAAAGCAACAGTCCAATGGAAGTAGTAACAATAATGACATGGGTTCCACCACTAATAATGCCTTCAGCAAACCAGCGGTACTCAGTGACAAGCCAGCACCTAAAACTTCAGCTAAATCTTTTCATCCCTCTTCGGCCTTCCAACCAGTGCAGAGTGGCTGTGGTTCTTCCCCGCAACCTGTAGCACAAGGTAAGGGTGATGCTGCACTAGGTAGCATGATTTTAGTTAAAGGAAGGGGCACAGACCAACAGGTGAAAGTGCGGCATCACTATCATCATTATCACCACCACCACCATCACCATGTCCATAACATGCCCCAGAATCAAAGGTTAGGTAACCATGATGATTTATCTTTGGAAAATATGGCAGTAGCAGCACCGCAGTGTGGGTCATCCAATCTGTCAAGTTTACCACATGTTGAAGGCAATGCTGCTAACCACAGTTTGACTAGAAGTGCATCAGGAAGTAACCATGGAAGCAATGGACAGAAAGAGAGCAGCACTGTGTTAAATAGCAGAGGAATGAATCTTGAAAGTGAAAATGGGGTGCCTGGGAAAGGTGGAGCTGGTGGTGGAATTGGATCTGGAGGCAGGAATGGAATTGATCAAAACCGTTTTGCTCAAAGAGAAGCTGCTTTGAACAAATTCCGCCAGAAAAGAAAAGAAAGATGCTTTGAGAAGAAGGTAACTGTATTCGATTGTGACACTGGCAAATATCTGTTTGTTAAAGTAGGGAGATGCGTCTTACTTTCTACTTGTATGATATAATTTCCCAAAATTATGACAATTGCTGAAACCTTTTAAGCTAACAGTGAAGATGTCATCAATCACCTTGGACTTACAGAAAACTAGATTTCCCTTAACAGTGTTCAGCTTTGCAGGTATCTTATGGGCCCATCCACCAGTATGATAATAGTCATGGTCACCTGAGTTAATTTCCAAGTTCTAATTTTTAATTTGTTGTTTCATCACTGGCTTCTCAATTTTGGAATTAAAAATGGTCAAGGGCATCTCCCTAACATCAACTTTTTCAGGTTCGATATCAGAGCAGAAAGAAACTGGCTGAGCAGAGACCACGCGTTCGAGGACAGTTTGTGCGACAGGTCCATGAAAATAAAAACAGGGACACAAACTGCTAACATACAACCCTCGTCCCTTAGTGTGTGCAAAATTTTGCATATCAGATTAGCACTACGGAGAAGGAAGCATTCAGATTTCATGGTGCAGGATTGTGCACATAGGGATACAAGATTATGTACTCTTGATCAAAGACCATATTCATTATGAGGACTCTCAAGTCTTCTTGAAATTGTACTTTACTAATCTGACCTATGTGGCTCTCGCTGAAACTATTACTACTACCTTGCAGAAGGTAACAGCCCTTAAAAGGGTAGCCCTCTGCTATAGTACCATCCGTTATGGTGTGCTGTTGTTTGTTAAAACTAGCATGCACGAAGTGGGTATTTAAAACTGTTCTCTTGTGAGCTTCATTTCTCGTGTGTTTTTAACTTACTTCTTATGGACTCTTTCTTTTCCATTAAGTTGTAACCCAATTTGGTTATGACTTACACAGATTTCAAGAATCCGCATGAAGGAGACTTCTGTTTAGGAAAAAGGTAAGAAACGTTTCTATGTGGTTTCCATAAAGCCATGTATTATCACTTGCTTTGAATAATTTGATTGCCTTTTGTTAGAGTTACTGACCTAGCTCATGATACATAAAGTAGAAATAGCAAGACAAAATAGGAGAGAGTTCCAAGTTCATTCCTGGGTAGAATTTATCATTTGGGAACAAGCATTTTTCTTCCTTCTTGTTTCCAAGCTTCTGGATTAAAGCTTCAAGCACCCTCTTTAGCATGACAGCCTCACCCTTAGGAAAAAACAAAAAGTTAGTTTTCCATCCATCTTCCATGACAAGATATGCTGGTTGGATTCAATGGCCGATCGGTAGAAAGCAGAATTTAGAATGATTTGAGGCTCTGGCCTTGGAAATACATGGGAGTCCCTTCGCTATGATGCTGGATAAGGTTAGCGGAAGAATGGGTGCATTGAACTTTGAGCCTTGTTGTCTACTTTCTGCTTCCCAGCTGCCCCTAAATATGATCCTTCAGATCTCTTCCCCAAAATGTTAATGAACCCTCAATCTGCTTTGTTATGGATAACTGTCTAGTCAACTCAAAAAATAATAATCATGGTTATGTCTGATTTAGTGGAAGCATAGGACTCTTAAAATTCAAATTTAAATTAATTTTTAAATTTTAACTGTTAAAATATTGCATAAAATGTCAAAATCAAATAAAATCTCAAATTCTAACTGTTAAAATATTTCATAAAATATCAAAATTATTATGTTAATAACTCTATCCAACCCCTTATATGGAATTCTCTGTCTATTCATGTAAGATAATCTTTCCCAAAACGGAGGGAGATTGACAACAAAACGTTTGCTTCAAAACAAAACCATATAACATGGTTGCTAGGACTGGGCAAAACTGATCAAACAGGCCAAGAAATATTTATAATATTACTGGTAGATAATTTATAACAACAAACATCTATCTGCAACCTAAATAGATGCATATCGCTAGACGACCGAAATTCAGCTTGTCGGAATACTGGTATCTCTGTCTTTAACTTGAGCAAGGGCTAATGATATCTGCTCTTCTTTTATTGTTGCTGTGAAAAAGAATTTGATATGATACAACACAGCCTCCATGGTTCTCTCCTTTTCTTTTTCCTCTAGGAACATCAAGCCAAACATGGAAGTAAAGACAACAAACTTTCCGGTCAATTACCGGTTTCATGCCCCGTCAACCTTGGCTTCCAGGGTAGAAACATTCAACAACATTTTCCTTGACCTTGAAGTGGAAATTACTTATCTTGTTCCTTGAGCTCCCTTGCCGATAATTCATACCCTTGTTCAAAACCGTCAACTGCAACATAATAAAAGCTCGTGACTTGTTAGACAATGGTAAGAAAAAGAAGAACGTCGTATGGTCTAATGCACTCTCTATATGCTCTTTGGTTGAAGAGATCTTCAATGAATAAGCAAAACATGGATGCATAAAGCAGTTGAAAGCATATTTGGCAGGTCATTCATCCAATGAATAAAAGCATTGGCTGATTTTCAAAACTAAAATGATGTCCTTGGACACTCATGTCACTGCATTATTTAGATCCTTGGTCTGAGTCGTCATCTCTTAAGGAGATGAAAACCAGATAGAAATACAAACTAGAAGTTTTTATATTGCATTAGAAAGCAACAGTATGACCAAATTAAATGGCAAATCTAACCTATAATTATTTACATCTATCGCGCAGCATTAAATTACGACAAAATGTCAATCAGAACATCAAATGACAGAAAAAAAATGATAAAAGAGATAGAAATGACACAACAGCACCTGTCCATGCACATCAGATGCTAAACCAGTAGCCAAAGGCTCTGCCTTAATCAAAATGTCTGCAAGGTACTCCATCTGTAACAAAAATGTAGGCCTATCTGCACTGGAATAAATATCCTCATGATTAAGTGTGATTAACGAACAATCCTGCGACAAGAAATGAGAACGCAATAAGAAGAGCAGTGGATCAACAAAAGAGAAAAAGTTGATGAAAGTGGAAAAAAATGAGAAAACAACAGGCATTGTCTTACAAACTCCGTTGTTAAAGTGCGGCAGTAATGCAAGAAGTCCAAGACATAATCTGAAGAGCCATTTGCGGCCACCTCCATAAGAGATAAATCATCTATGATAATGGTAACATTTTTACTGCTAACCTCAGGCAATGCTACAATGGTTTTATATATTTTCCCATACAATGCAATAAGTCCACATTCAGGACTTATTCCTTCATCTCCACCTAGTTAAACAAGTCGAAAACTCTTTCCATGAGATCAATTCCATACCACACACAAATTATTACTTACCTGAAAAGCCAGAAAACTGGAAAGTTCCAGACATCATATTAAAAAAAAAAAAGATTAATCCCCACAGAGAGAAATACCTAATCTAACACACACAAACTCATAATCATGCATGCAAAAAGTTTTGCAACAACCATTTTACCTGATTTTCTCACCTGGACATTGCAGCATCAGCATGTCAAAGAAAAATAATCTGTTGTTATCCCTTTGTGTTACTAAGTTGCATCCCTATTTCATCAAATCAACAAAAGAACCAGATACCATTAACACCAGTTCCAACTCTCAAATCGCATTGAATCGGAAAAATTGGACTGGGAACTGATCCCTTGTGTCTAACACCAACCAAATCTCACTCATTCAAGACAACACAAATCTTGTTAATTCATTAAAAAGAAAGCAGAAACCTGGGCTTGATAAGGGTCACACTATATACCACTTATTTAACTACTCCATCAACATCAACTAGACAGAACCATTCTTAAACAAGGCAAGCAACCAGTAGCAAAAATTAAAGAAATTTTTTGACCTTTTCCTTTCAATATCCAAATTCAGAAAGGACCAGTTTGTTTACACCTAGAAATTCAAACCAAATAATGTCTGCAAACTTTTTCACCTTTTCAATTTAGTAACCAGTTCACAAAGTTCCAATGTTCACACAATGCCAATTCAAACAAAACAAACCCATTTCAGTTCCACACAAAACCCAAACATACCCTTAACAAATTACCCATTAACCCTCCGTAATCCATATCCCACCATTAAATCTACCAACAAAAAACCAAAAAAAAAAAAAAATTCCCCCAAAAGAGATGGGCAAGCAGTAAGAGAGAAAGAGACTTACTAGTTTTCGAAGGACACGATCGTAGTGAGAGAAAGGCTGAGATAAAGCGATAAAGATGGAAACATTGGACGAATTTGGAGAAAGAGAGCGTTTAAGGATATGGTGAAGAACGAACGAGCCGCTCGTCTCCACTTGGTCTTCTATAGCCACTATTCGACCCCTCAGAGGCCATGGCTCGATGGTCTGGTCGAGCCCCAGGGCTTCATCGAGTAGGTTCGAAGATCTCTGATTCATGACTTAGGGAAATTTTGTTTCTAAGAGCGGGACGTTAGGGGTTTTAGGGTTTTTGGATTTTGGAAGGGAGAATATAAAATAAGGTAAATAGAAAGTAAAAGGCCGAGAAAAGATTTGGGAATGGGCTATGGCCAATGGATTGACTATTGGGCTTACATTGGGCCTATATTGAGTTTGAATTGGGCTTGGCAGTAAATAGATTTTTTTTTCTTTTTTAATTTTGCAATGCTACGGTTCAAGTGATGAGAATAGTTGAAAGTTAAATTTAAAAAGGAAAATGAAAATATATGTTCGAGTTTTATTTTAGCTGTCTAGATTTTTTTTTATTAATTTTTTTATCATTTCTGAATTATTTACACAATTTAAAGGATATTATATGTTCGAGTTTATCTTGATTCCCATTCGTAAGCACCAAATTTCAACAATGTCAAACCAATATCATGCTTCACTTTCGCATGAAAAATTTTATTATGTGTTAAGATGGGGAATGAATATTTTATTTTCTCATTTTAGATGACAAAATATTATGATATAAGTGGGTTTAAATCAAATAGTTTTTCTTTTTTTTCTTTACCACTTAGAAGCAATGAAGCCAACCATTCATGTCCCTGGATCATCTTCTTGATTAATTTGCTTCCTAATCAATGATTTGCTATTTTTTATCCAAATTGAAGTTTAATTTCCAAGCATAATATCTAAAAAAAATTTTAAATAATTTATTATTCTTTTATTACTCTCAATCAAGTCATTATTATTTTATTACATTGAATTAAACTTTTATATTTTTATTTTAAATTAAATAAATTTTTTTATAATTAACTATCATTAGTTAAGCGTCACTCGTTGTTTTATATCACATGATATTAATGTGACATATTAACACATCATAATAACTAATGATGTGATAGTATTTTCCATCTTATACGATGTCATTGTCACGTGTAGATAAAATAACAAGTGTTATTTTAATTAATGATAATTAATTAATCGTTACTTATAAAAAAAATTATTTAACTTAAAATAAAAATATAAAAACTTAATTGAATGTAATAAAAAAATACAAATTTATTTAAATAATTCAAAATTTTAATCAGTGAATTATCCCCTTCAAGATTATTGAATAAACCCTTAGGGAAAATATTGATAAGACTTTTCAATTCATATACTACTATTTAATAATGTTAAAGTTCAAGTGGGCAAGGTAAAGGTAGTAAATAATGACATACATTGATCATCAAAAAAAGTGCAAAAACTTCAAGTACTTGTCTCTTTTGCTTTCTTTTTTGGTTGATTCCTTCTTATAGACCCCAGCTTTGATTGCTAAAAGTGGAAATTGATACAAACCCAATTTTTAAAACAATGTTAGATTGCTTATGCCATCAATCATATTCAATATATATATATATATATATATATATAAATAAAGGGGTATGGAAATGCCTTGATGGAAAAGGGTCATTCTGAAAAAAAAAATAAATAAATATAATCAC